TTCCTCCCTTTCCATCTCCTCCCATTTCTCCTTGTACTCCGTACCCCCCAACCCCACTGGTTTTCTCAGAGCCCTTTAAATATCAGTGGCATTGTTAATTTCCAAGAGAAGGCTAATATGTGACATTTCTAAAACTCATTTCACTGTTCAGCGGTTAATTTTGAGGGAGCATGCTTCACGTAGAGCTGCTGTCCTATGATCGATTCTTGGTCAGATATTATGCCGAACTGGGGCATGTTAGGTAGAGTTACAGAGAAGTAGGTCACCTTGTATCCCCTGAATACATAGCTACCCCTCATTGTTAAAGGGGAAGCAGATGGATGGGCTCCATATACCTTTTTGGAAGGCAGTCATTTTTTTTGCATATGTTTAAAAATGAACCAAAACATTTTAAATTCAGCTCCCATTAAGATAAGTTATGCTAAATTAAAACACCCAGCAGTTAGTGAACTTTGTATTTTTCACATGGGGTGGGAGGAGTAACTTGGTGTGCCGGTTTGTAGCAGACATTCAGTAGCTGTGTATCCTTGGTGATCATGCTCACGTTTTATTTCTCTTTTGAAACATTGTTATATTTGGGCAAAATATATAAATAATTGTGCTTAGTTTGTTCAATTGGGGTGGAAAGGTTTAAAAGGTGTGTTTTATTGATAAAAGTGATAAACTCCTCAATGAAATATATACTCTAGTAAACACTGAACTAGAAGGTGAGAATAGTGAATTTCCTCCCTACTTATTTTTCTATTCCTTGTCAAATAGAACAGTGATTTTAGAAAATAAGAAAGAAGAATTCTAAGGATTTGTTGAGTCAGGGAATTAAGAGACACATATATTTACCTCAGTGATTAATTGTATTTCAGTCCCAAATACCCAGGGACAAAGATTTTGTAATTTATTGGCCTGCATAAAGTGGGCTAATGTGATTCAAGTTCTTTCCTGTTAGACAGATGGCTTGGTGAATGACCAAAAGCAAATGAAGACTCACTATCACAAGAGAGACATTCATGGAACAGATGGAAGTCATTTTTTGAATAAACTCAGAATATTCAAACATTTTTTATAATAGCAGAGTTAACTAAATAGAGCATTATAAAGGTGAAGTATTTTAGACATCTTGAAAAGTAAAATATTAAATGTATTATTACAATTTTTTTTCCTCAGTCTGTAAGTTGGAAAGTCATTTCACCTAGAAAGAAGAGAAAATTGTACTTTTAAGCAAGGTAGGCAAGGGAGTAGACCAACTTCAAGGAGAGGATGGTATAATACTGAAATATGTTAAAAAGCAGAGAACTCATTTCCTACATCCATTTTCTTTACTAAAGGAGAATTGTTTTCAAAGTAGCAAGGGTAGGAAAAGCATTATTAAGAAGGAATTGAAGCACAGATAGATGAGTGGATAATTATAGAACACTAGACACTTTACATGAATCTAAGCCTTTTTAGATTTATATAAAGTATATATCTCATTACTATACTGAAAATATAGCAGACATGATTGTCATCCACTGTCAGTAAGTGCCTTTTAACGAATAGGAAAGATGTCAAAAGATCAATGATTAGCATTGACCAATTCGGAAAGGAAAAGGTGATTTCTAGAAAATATAGACCATTAAACTTGTTGTCAGTCATCTGTCCCCAACAAGCATATAAGATAATTAATCACATAATTAGCACTTAAAAGAAGGAAGTGGTGATTAACTCAACTTTAGTAAGAAGTTGCATCAAATCAATCCCATCTCTCCTCTATTTTTTTTTCCTCTTAGTAAAGGGCAGTTTTATCTATTTACACCTCCTCTGAGTTCTAGGAGCAATGTAAGCAGTGTAAATAACTGCCCAACAAGATGAAATATAAGAAAAAGAGTAGAAATGGCTTAACATTTATTGGACTTATTAAATTCCAGGTCCTTTACTAAGCAGTTTACATGTTATTTCTGTTTATCCTAAGCAGATCCCAGAACAACCATTCAGCCAGTTTTTGTAAGATGTGAGGAGTCCCTGCTGCCTGTTTGCATGATCAGTTGCAACAGGAATTTTACATCAGATTCATGTGCAGCAGATGTGAGAATATTTTAGAGCTATAGTTCTCAAAACATTTTGGTCTGAAAGCTCATTTTTTTCTGCACTCTTAAAAATTACTGAGTACCCCAAAGAGCTTTGGTTTCTATGGGTCATGTATATTGATACTTACTGTATTAGAAATAAAATTGAGAAGCATTTTAAATAAGAATACATAAGGACATATTCCAATAGCCATCAGGGGACTGACATCATCATCTCACTTCTGCAGCCTCTGGAATACGCTGTATTCTCAAGAGAGAGTGCAAAGGGAAGTAATTTTTAGTGTTGTTATGAAAATGGGTTTAACCTTGCTGACCCGCTGAAAGGATCTCTGGCCCTCTTAGAGGGCCCCAGACCATACTTTGAGAACCATTGTCCTAAAGAAAGGATTCACTCTAGAGAGATCAGGCTATGAAATCCTCCATCATACATCTTCCTCCACATCATTTCAAAGAATATTGGTTGATGGACTTGCCTGAGTCTTATACCTCTCTGTGCAAGCAAGCAGAGAGGTGCCAGGTGGTAGTTCAGAGCAGTATATTTAGACTGCTCTTCATGTCACCAGTGGAAAAATTACTTCTGAAGTTCATTAGTAACCTCACTTCTTGTTGTTTAGTCACTAAGTCATGTCTGATTCTTTGTGACCCCATGGACTGTAACCTGCTAGGCTCCTCTGTCCATGGGCTTTCTCAGGCAAGAATACTGGAGTAGGTTGCCATTTCCTTCTCCAGGGGATCTTCCCAACCCAGGGATCAAACCCACATATCCTGCATTGGCAGGTGGATTCTTTACCCCTGAGCCACCTGAGAAGCCCAACTAGGTCACATTTTACCATCAGCTGCCCTGTCTGTTTCACTGGTGCGGGGACCACCTGTAAATGTGAGGTCCTGATTTCTTTCGCTGGGCTTCACTCTCCTCAACTTTGTAGAATCATTTTTGTTTGTACTCTTGTTTGCTGACCACACTCTTAACAGTTGGTGTTCTCCTGTTACATGGTGCTTGGTCCATCGTACCCAACCAAGTCAGCTCAGCCTCAGGCCTGCTTCGTCACACCAGCAATGCCACATGTGTCCACTCCTGATAGCAGCTCCTCTTGTTAGTATACTGTCCATGTACTACTCTGCCTGCTTCCCTTGTGGCCCAGCTGGTAAAGAATCTGCCTGCAATGTGGGAGACCTGGGCTGGGAAGATCCCCTGGAGAAGGAAAAGGCTTCCCACCGCAGTATTCTGGCCTGGAGAATTCTGTGGACTGTATAGTCCATGGGGTCACAAAGAGTCAGACACGACTGAGCGACTTTCACTTCTCACGTGCACTACTCCGAACAGTACTTAACTCTGGGTGCCGCATTTTAGGAGACACTGACACGCTGGAGATCATCCAGATGAAGGTAACTAAACTGCAGCGTCCACGAACAGGCCGTTGTTTTACAGGATGACCTCAGCCCATTCTGGCTTCCTGTCTTGCACTCTCTCTTCAGGTAGCCTGAGTTCAGCTCATGCTAAATCATCCTGTCTCTCAAATGTGGGTCTTCTTTCAGATTTTCATTCTTTTGCACAGACCTTTTCCATGTCTCTTGGCAGTGAGTTCCTACTTAAAGACCCAACTCAAACATTTTTTCCTCCCTTAACTTTGCTAGTTATTTTACCTCTGGGTTCTTGCAGAACTTATACATGGCCAGATTGTGCATCAATCAAACTATAATCCTGTCCAAGGGTCACCAGACCTTTTCTGCAAATGACCATATAGTAAGCACTTTAGGTTTTGTGGATTTTGTGTGTTTCTCTCTATCACAATAGCTCACCTTTGCTTTAAGTACAAAAAACTGTCACAGATAATATGTAAGTGAACAAGTTTGACTGTGTTCCAATAAAACTTTACATGGACACTAAAATTTGAATTTCACATCATTGTCATGTCAAGAAACATTCTTCTTTTGACAACCCTCCCCCAACCATTTAAAAATATGAAAACCATTCATAATTCCTGGTCTATGCAGAATCAGGCAGCAGGTTAGATTTGGCCCACTGTCCATAGTTTGCCGACCCTGGATCTAATCAGTCTGTTTATTCTTTCAGTCACTCATGCATTCATTCATTTATAGAATAAATACTCATTTGCTGGATACCTAGGCACTAGTGATACAGGGGTGAGAGAGACAGACATATTATGAAGACAGAATCTTCTGTGTTAGACTGAGCTTGCTGAATTCAGAGACTTTTTATTGCATCTCTGACCCCCAAGAAGAGTACATTTCCTGGTACATTTTGAGATGAAGTAATGAATGATTCAACAAAGGGATGAACAAAGGAATAAGCAATTATTTCTTTGCTAATTATTTCTCCTGTGACTTATGATTATGCTGTCTTATAATGTAAATGTGAAAGAGAAATGCTACAGTGAGTGATAGTTTTTTTTTTCTTTTCTTTTGTTCTAAGTGATAAATTTTTAACAAAGGTTATTTTGGAAAGATCTTTGTTGAGTCTAGATATGAGGGTAAAATTTACACTTTGTTTTGTTGATAAGAGCGCCATCAAAGTGATGTAGTTTAAGATGTATTGCTATTCTATGTGATAGATCATCTATATAATTTTTGGTATGAATGTTCTAATTAGCATTTAACTTTTATAATAAAGTCATAAGGTAGATGGATAACTGATGGAAGGGAAGTTTTTAACTAAAGGGACATTTTCTCTCATTTGAATGTGCTGGATGACATCTTTATATCCTGCAAAAGATGTATTTTAAGAATTGAAACCTTAGGTTGAGTTACAGTAGCACATAAGTATTGAAGATTCGTTTACTCATAGAGATTAGCTTCTCTCTTAAATAGCACATTGCATTTATGTGGTTTTTCAAGGCATTAACATACAGCCTTCAAATACTTGTTACTTCAAGTAGTTTTAATCATGAAAATGTGATAATGCTTATTTTCTTTTTATAGGCGAGATAAACTTTGGATTTGCATGGAGTTTTGCGGAGGTGGTTCCTTACAGGATATTTATCATGGTAAGACCAAAGTTATATGTTAAAGAGATTAAGTAGAATTTCTTACAATACAGTTATTTACTATATTAAACATCAATATTTTGTGGAAAGTATGTTTTATCATTATACTGTATGGATACATAAGGAAATTTAAGATATATACAGGCAAAAGGAGTGTTTGCTTTCTAAGTGAGAAAGCTGCATGCAGTGGAATTATTCGCTAATTCTAAAGAAGGCATTTTATACATAGTTAGTTCAGTTGGAATAGGAAACAGGAAATGATAGATTTTCCAGAAGTGTTTTAGAAGGCATAATGAAAAAAGTGGGCTTTAAATTGGCCTTTAAAAGATCGGTGAACTTTGGGTACAAAGAAGAGATAGATGTACGCTCCTGGGGGTGAAGCAGCAGCACAGTGACATGAAGTTGTGATTCGAGATCACTCTCACTGTCTGGGGTGTATCTGGGATCAGATCCAGAGCCTTGAAAGCCAGAAGGAAGGACGTACTGGGTAGTCTAGTGGCTAAGACTCATTACTTCTACTGCAGGGGGCATGGGTTTGATCCCTGGTCGGGGAACTTAAAAAAAAAAGAAAAGAAAAGGCCAGAAGGAAAAACATGAGAATATTGAGCATTTCTGCTTTATGAAAAGTTATTTATTTTCTGAGAATATTTTTTATTAAGGGTGGCTGTTCTTTCTATTTGAGAATGTTTTCCTTTTTATTAATAGCATTTTGATTTCAAAGGTTCAGTGAAAATTGAAAAATATTTGGCACCATTTTGCACTACAGACCATAGTGTTTCTGGAAGTTTGTTATAAATTTTAAAAGCTATTTTCCCTTTTTATTGTCTTCATTTGGACTAATTTCTCTACTATGGTTTCCATACTTACTGATTTAATTTCCTTCTTTCTGAAGTTTTTTTTAGCTAAGTCTTCTGGTGGTAAACTCAGTCTTTGATCCTCATTCTTAAATGGTAGATTAAGTAGACATAGGCACATTTTCTCCACTGACGGATGTTCTCTGTCAGCATTTCAAAGATACTGGAGCATTGTCTTCTAGTTTCTGTAGTTGTTGGTACCTTCTGCTAACTATTGATCCTTTGCAGGTAATCTTCCTTTCTTTCTAATTACTTTTAAGATTTTTCTCTTCATTTCTGGTGTTTCTGTTATCTAAATGTAGATTACTTTTCCTGCTTGGAACTTAAAGTGCTTACCTATGAGATTTTAGTTCTTTTATCAGATCTGACAATGGCTAATTACTGTCTCTTCAAATAGTTTCTCCTTCAGTTTCTCTGATTGCTTCTTTTAGAATTTCCATTCCATGTCTCTTAAAGTCACCTTCATATTTTCCAGTCTTTAGTCCCTCAGAACACTGAGGATACTCATAGCCATCTTCCAGTTCACTGATTGTACACATGTGATTAGTACATCAATTAGGTTTTAATTTTTTGTGACTGTGTTTTTCATTTCCAAAAATTGATTCTATTTCAGGTCTCCTTCAGCTTTTTGTCTTATTCTTTTCTGGTAATTTTTCATCCATTCTTTTATATCTAGTGTTTTGAAGCATACTTATTTTTTAGTCTTAGATTGCTTCATAATTTCATCAGATATGTATGATTGGTCTTAGATGTCTGATTCTTCTTTCTTCATTAGGAAGCAAGAAAGCCGATTTTTACAGAAATAGGTTGTCATGTTATCTTTCCATATCAACGTTCTGATGGAAATAACATAGTAATATGAATTTGTTGGTACTGATTTGTTTATTAAGAATCTAGGGAAGAAATAATTTTGTATTAACTTGGGTGCTGTCAGACATACATGCTGAGAATATACATGCTTACACACAGCTCCAAAGCCTCTTTGTCTGCTTTCACTCCTTTCATTTCACCTAGGTTTCTACCACATAGCCTGCTCATGGCAATGTGTCCTTCTCTTTGGCTGTGGTCTACAGTGCTGTCTACTCACATAACCGTATAAAACGTGTACTTCCATTTCTCTGTGTGTGTCTGTTTCCTCCTCTCCTCTCTCTCTCATCATTTTGTCATTCCATCGGGAGTAGTAGAAAATATCCTGGATTACCTTGTTTGGTCACAGAGATGTTCTACTTTTCTAATAACCACGGTGCTTATGCTGTTTTTGTTTGTTTGTTTCTTTGCTGGCATATACAAATTATATTTTGATTCATTATGCAATTTTTTTTATTAAAGCCACTTTTAAAAAATTATTTCTGTTTATTTCTAAAGTACCATTAAGTGAATTTTTATATTTTTTCTTACCGTGCTTAATTCCATCATCTACTCAGTATGATTTTCTTAAATTTAAATCTTCTTGGAAGGTGAACCATATTAGTTATCTGTTGCTGTGCAACAATGATCTTAAAATTCGTTGTCTTAAAACAAACATTTGTTATCTCACAGTTACTAAGGGTCAGGAATTAAGACTGGCTTAATTGGGTGATTTGCCTTGTAGGACAGGCCAAAACATGCATAAGACATTTGGTCCATGCTAAACGTCCTTGCAGTTTCGCCCTGTGCAGTGAGCATATGCCACTGGTTTTATACAGGACCTGATATCAATCATCTTTTAGCATGGACCAAATGCCTTAAGGACATTGTGGGCGGGACCAAATATGAACAAATACCAAGAGCCTTTTGGTGTGGATCGAAAGTCTTACGGAGGTTTTAGGCAGAACCAAATGTCTGCTAAAATGGGTAATCTTGGTTCATGGTTACTCATGAAGTTGTAGTCAAACTCTTGTCTGGAACTGTAGTCATCTGAAGGCTTGACTAAGGTTGAAGGATTTACTTTCTAGATGATTCACTTACATCAATATTAGCAGGAGGTCTCAGTTTCTTACCATGTAGATTTCACCATAGGACAGCTTGAGTCTCTTCATAGGACGGCAACTGACTTCTCCCAGAGGAAATGATCCCGAAGAGCAAGGAAGAAGCCATAAACTTTTTATGATGTAGTCTTAGAAGTTGTATTCTGTCACTACCATTACAGTTTGTTCTTTAGAAGCAAGTCATTTTGTTGCAACTCTTGAGGGGGCTGTATCTAAGAATTCACGGACATGTTTTTGATCACATGGCTGGGGGCAATGGGGCAAATCCTTCTCCTCTCCTTTTGCTTACTTTTCTTTGCAGAACTAACATTAGAACTTTATACTGTTGCAACATAATAGGTTTTTTGGTCTCTGTTTTTCATTGAACATTTTTCTTTCTGTTTGATGTTGTCCTTTAACAACTTTCTACACTCTGTTAAATCATTTATGTTGAATTCTTTTTCTCATTCATTTCATAATTTTGAGATCATCTTCAGTGGGAGTTCCATATGACTTTAAAGAGTGTGTCCTTTCGACAATATTGGATTATTTTGCCCAGGGTTCCAATGGCCTCGTTTTCGATATATATTTGAACTCTAAACCTCAGTGAAGAAGAGACCTTATGAATTCCAAGGGAAGATATTTTTTTCCCCTGTCCAGATCCCAAGCCATGACATATCCCTAGTCATCTCCTGGTGCTTGTCTGCTGTTTTAATGAGGATGTAGCCTTTGAGGATTCTTTTATGTGGGTGTTTGTTTTAACTCTTCCTTTGCCAGCCTATAACCTTTTCTTCTGTGCCCATGTAGGGGATAAAACTAAAGCCCTAGATTACTAAGATTGGCCTTCTCCTAAGAGACAGCTAGAATATTTGACATTTTTACCATTCTGTTTTTCATTTTTCTTTTTGCTTTTGGCTTCTGGGGAAGTCTCTTACTATTTATAAGCTTAGCTTTAAAATTATTAAAAATTATGTAAAAATTATTTTAAAATGTTTACCTGGTGTTACTTTTCAGGGTTTTCAAGTTATCTTATTTGTCATATTGTGGGAACAGACTTAAGAAGGCCTTTCTTACTGGGTGAGAGTAGGCTTATAAGCCACAGAAATTAGTTACTATATGGTTTATCCTCAGACACTGAAATTTAGCCTTGTCCCTAAAAGAATCTAGGTGAAATAGATTCTTCTCTCCCACAGTTGTAAAATACAAGCAGTCTGAGCTACACATTTTTACAAAACGGTTAAGTTTGTGTAAGTGGGAGATCACTATCTAGTATATGATTTCATCGTTGGGATTTAATTCAATTTCTGAAATAGTTTCTCCCACCTAACATACTTCTTATATTCTAAAGTGATTTAATAGTGAAAAAGAAAAAACTGTTTAAATGTTTTTCATAGTCAGCAGATGCACACAGAGGAAATACTATTCAAATATTATTATATGATTAAGCTATATATATATAATACATATATATAGAGAGAGAGACGGAAAGATGTCCGTGATAAGTGAAAAAGGCAAGTTCCAGAATTGTATGTGTAATATGATTCCATTTATGTTTATGTGTGTGTGTACCACCTACCTGTGCTATATAAAACATCTGTGTATAAAGTCATCTGGTAGAGATAGGCCACCCTGTTGATTTTGTTTATTATTGAGTAATAGTGGTTTGGATCAGGAAGAGACCTATCTCTGTTGATTGAAATTTTTTATAGTGAACATGTGTTACTTTTATATCTATAAAGCAAATAATTTTAGGGGAAATGTATTATCTTTAACTTAGCCAATAATTCATGTCATGTCAGTTTTTTTTTTTAAAGTTTTAATAAAAACTAGTTAGACATCTTGGCTGTGCTTCCTTTAACATTTAAGAGGTATTATGATCAGGTGTAAAAAATGAAAATGGAAATTAATTTCATTGACTATTTCACTGTTTTATTCATTCTGTTAACATTTACTCAGTAGCCTTTCCATGCCAGGCACTGTTCTAAACACGGGGGATACAATGAGCATATCAGATTTTTTTTAATTCCTGCCCTCATGGAGCTTACATTTCAGTAGAATTTAAATATATTAAGTCTGTTGCTTAGTGGAACTTTTGCAACTTTGTCTTTTATTTAAAAAACACACTTTGAGTAATTTTATTAATAAAATTAATTTTATTAATTTTCTCCTCTTATAGTAACGGGACCTCTCTCAGAACTGCAAATAGCGTATGTTAGCAGAGAAACACTACAGGTAAATTCAATGCTAATTGAAAAGTAATGTTCTTTCTTAAACTAAATGTTTGATTATTGTGTATAACCTGTTAAGGAGAATAAGGATTAAATATTCCAGTTTGGAAAATTCTTGAATTTGCAAATTATATTTGCAAATAAACTATTTAAAGCTTTAGTATGATAATATACCTCCTAAAATTGGATTTACTTATTTTTATATATCTCTTAATACCAAAGAAAGTCTTGAAAATTACACACTCTTATGGAATTGAAACTGATTATGATATTAATTGGATATTTATTTTTTAATTGTTATTTCAAACTGAGCAGTTTAGTGAAAATTATTTGTCTTAGGAAAATTAGCAGTTCAGAGTGAGCTCTGCCTCTTTCATTTTCTTGATTCTTTTATCCTTTTGGATATTCCAGTAAAATAAAGTGATTGTCCCTAGAGCTTTCTGTGATGAGTAAATAAGTAAAGAGAGACTACTACTCAGTTAACCACTTTAAATCATAGAGAGTTTTTTGTAGTAAAGTCTTATTACTGTTTCTGCCTTTTTTTGTTTTGAAACTCCAGGGATTATACTATCTTCACAGTAAAGGAAAAATGCACAGAGATATAAAGGTATATGTCATATGTTTACTTAATGACCCTCTTTTTCTTCTTAAAATATTCAGATCAAACTGAGCAAAATTGTCTCAGTTATTCTATTTGATGAATTTGTTGTCTTAATATGTTATTATAATAAAGTTGAGTGATAATTTGAAGATTTTCATTATTTTTATATAGAAACTCTATTGAGATACAGTTTACATACCACCAAATTCACACCTTTAAAGAGTACAATTGTGGATTCATGTTTCAATAACACATTTTATCTTGTTTGTAGTTATTTATTTATAAAATGTAAATTAGGTCCATGACTTCCGTTAATTTACGGTCTTTAGGAAGTTTCTGGTTGGCCAAAATGTTTGTTCAGATTTTTTTCTGTAAGATGTTTCGTAAATTTTGGCAGTCTTAAGGAACTGTCTTTAATAATGTATCAAGATGGATAAATTAAACCTTGACCTTTTCTGCTAGTCTTTACCTGCAGGAGAGAGTAGGTGCACCAGATGTGCTTGGTAAAACACCTCTATGGTAGGATGCTGAGGTTATTGCCAAAGATAACTGACATCTCCTTTCTTCTTCCTTATCCACTGTACCTCCTGCTTTTTCATTCCCCCTTTTGTTTCCTGAGGTTTTCTCTTAACAGAAAGGTTCTAGCCTTTTTGGGGGGAGGGGTGGATCATGTATTCTTTGAGTCTCTGATGAAAGCTACGGACTCTCTCCTCAGAAAATGCCCTTATGCACGTGCCTTCAAATTGTCCATGAAATTTCAGTGGACTCTCAGATCACCTGCTGAGATCCTCTGCTTTAAATATGGTTCATAAGCCACTTAAAATACATAAGAAAAGAGCCTTGGATTCAAAGGTAGGAGGGATCCTAAGAAGATAAGTAAATCAAGAAAGATTCTGTCATTGGCACTTCAGTGATCTGGAAGAAGTCATAGGTTTTTGTTGGAAATGGAGGTTGGAATGCTTTCTAAGCAGAGGGAACAGTGTGGGCAAAGACACAGAGATCAGAGATTGTGGGGTCATTTTAGGGATTGTAAAGTCCGCATCTTATAGATTGAAGAGAAGAAAATGTAGGAGAGTGTTAAGAGATGGGGTTGGCCAGGAGGTTTGGTGCTCCATTATGCAAGAACTTATGTTCTGGACTCCAGAGTTTGGGCCTGATTAGGTCGCTTCTGGCCATTGCCACTATTTCTCCCCTGTCTAAGCCACTGTTATATCTCACCTGAACTTATGGAATAGCCTTCTAACTGGTCTTCCTGCTCCCATTCTTGAGTGATCCTACAGTCAGTTCTCTACCTCACAACCGAAGTGACCTTTTTAACCCACATCTTTTCACCCTTCTGCTTATAAACTACCACTGGCTTCCCATGATACTCCATATATATTCAGATTTTTTCACGTGACCATTAAAGTTATGCATGATCTGGCCCCTGCTTTCCTCTCTGACCTCATTTCACACATCTCTTCACTTTACTCATTCTGTTCTAGCCACACTAAATTTGCAGTTCTTGGAACATATCAAGTTCATTCTGGTCCCAGGACTTTGTATTTGCTGTTACTGGAATGGTCTAGATTTTAGCATGACTCTTACCCTCTCTTCATCTGGATCTCTGTGTAGTTATCACTGCCTTAGAGAGGCCTTTTCTTCCAGCTTTATCTTCAGAGTACTTACCTGTATCTGTCTTTGAACCATTTGTTGGTTCATTCATTCATTTGTATGATGTGTGTGTGTGTGTGTGTGTGTGTGTTCATTTTTAGATTTTCTTTCTCTCCTACTTGGATGTGAGCTCCATGAGAGCTGTAACTTTTTTGTTACTATAACCCCAGAGCTTAAAATAGCATCTGATTGCTGGTAGTCTCTCAGGGAGAGAGGGATAAATGGGTGTGTAGATGGATGGATGGATGGAAGGAAGCATCATAACTACAGGTGTAGTTTAGCTGTAATTTAAAAAAATTAATCTGGAGAGAACAAATTGAAGACTCTGCAAGAGTCTAGATTGCTAGGGCCTAATTCAAGTTGAAATCACTACTCTAGTTTTTTTTCCTTTTTCTCATCTCTCCCATTACTCCTTAGAGCTGCAGTAATATCAGTGGGTGCAAATTTTGGTAATTTCTTCCTCTTTGGGGTATGGAAAGGGATTTCCTGATATTTTTTCCCCAAACTTACTCTTATGTAATTGATTGCATCCTGAACCATAGAGGCTGCTTACTTTTGCTTTCTCATTTAAAAGTTGCCCAGAGAGGAGGGGGATGCAGCCTATAGTACCTTTGGGAGGCAGTATTTCTATTTAACATTTTAATTGGACATTAAATCATAAATCATGTTTCTAGGTCTGAGGCTGCCATTTGTTATTTTAAATGTGTATGTTTAATGTATTATATGTGCGGTCTGATAAAATGTTTCCTACTTTAACTAAAATGTTCTCACTTTGAAGGGAGCTAACATTCTATTAACGGATAATGGTCATGTAAAATTAGGTAAGTAAATTTGAGCTTCATCACTTACACAAATTTATTTCAAAGCATAATAAGTTTGTTTTCCTCTGTAGGACTAGGTTTCCCCTTTCTCAGCAGTGTCTATATATTTTTAGGTAGAAATTTCATTGCAGTACATAGCATATATAATCTCTCTGTATCTGTTTCCACTTCTCTTAAATGGGAATCAGATTTGTCCTTCACATATGACAGATTTGTTATAAATAATGATTGATGATATAATGAATAGTGAAATAATATACCTTGAAAATTCTTTCACCTCTAACCCTAAAGGAATGGGACTTCTAGTAAGAAATCTATACAAAATTACCCTGTAACTAAAAAACAAGGCAAACAGACAAAAGCAAAAAATCAATAATGCCAAAAACCCTACCTACTTATGTAAGCTTTTAAAATAAAACACAGTATTAACTTACATAAGAATGTAATTTAGATGCTTAATGGGCTTTTATTTTGTAACTTTCGGTTGTCACCTGATGATTAAAGCAGTTCAAAACCTAAATTATAGCTTAATTTGAAAGTTTAAGATAGAAAACATGTACAGTATAGTAACTTTATAAAATTGTGTCTGTTAGGTTTGAAACAATTATTTTTAACATGCCGCTATAAAACAAATCAAAATTCAAATATTTATTTTCTAAAAATAAGATAAAACTATTTTGATCTATAGCCTATAATAGGACTAAGCAAATTTAAAAGTTCAATAATTTGCATAAAAAAATTTCCTAAGTCACCTCTATATATGAGAAAAGCAGCTATCTAACTATTGATGGCTTAGTGAACAGTTTCCATCTGCAATTTAATGTTTTGTGTCAGTATTATGTGCCTTAGAGACCTCCTATATATGTGTGTGTGTGTGTATATATATATCTTAGTTTGTAAAGATTTATAAATCATTCGTTAAAAAACTAGAAAATATAGAACTCAACATACTTAATAGCAACATAAAAATAAACTGACATAAAGATAAATTTCTTGATAGTGATTGGTATTGGTATTAGAATGTATTGCCAAGGTAAGATTTTTAGAAAAAGTCTGTTTCAATGTCATTTCATGGTAGATTTGCCAGTAGAGATTTATTTATTATTATTATTTTTTAATGTCAGCTGTCATGTGTATGGCAGGAAATGAATGGAATGTATTCCTACTTAAGGTCCCTTCCAGCGACTTTCCTTGAGTTTCAGGTCCTGGGAATTAGAAATTATAACATTAAGTCTGGCAGCTTAGAGTCTCTCAGTTGTTTCTTCATCAGAATTATTGATCTTGACTTTTGTTGTCATTTGTTTCACGTGGGGCTATATGGGAATCCACATGGCTATCATACACCATATTTTGTGATATTTTAATGCTAGTCCACTTAAAGATTTTATAGTGATGTTTGAGAATGTCTCATTTCTATGAAATTAATTAAAATATTGAAAAATTTTCATGTTACTTTAATTTTACTTTCAGTTTTATTTTCTAAATATTTCTCTCTTTTTTTTAATAGCTGATTTTGGGGTGTCTGCTCAGATAACAGCTACCATTGCCAAACGGAAGTCTTTCATTGGTACACCATATTGGTAATTTTATTTTGACTGATAATTTAACTTTCTGTTTTTTGATCATTATTGTATGCAGTGTTTATTTAAAAATAGACTGAATGGTCTAAAACAGATTAAGGAGGTCATCAACAGGCTAAGTAATTTAGGCGTATACACTATGGATGAATTACATAATCATTGAACATTCTACCATGTTATTTTCATTAAGTGGAAAAGGCATTAAAGATTGATGTGGCTTTTAGAAAACCTGATACAAACCTGATAGTTCCAGTTTTGCCCCCCAAAAACCCTCAGCTCTTGGTCCTACACATATTATATGTATTTTCATAGATCAGTCTGTATTCTGATGAATTTTTCAACATTATATTATTCATAGTATTCTCTTGGTCATAACTTTTTGAACCAGCTAGTTGGAAGGAACCTAGTCATCAATAAAGTGATAATTGGCTTACATTAAATTTTACTTATTTCTGGGGTTCTTGGCTTGCTCATTGGTCTTTTCCTCTACACACTCTTAGATTTATCCTTCCTCCTATTTGCCACATCATTTACTATTATTTTACTTCTGTCCAAATATGTCTTCTAGATTTTTCAGAGATGCTGTTTATATTTCTCTTTTTGTTCTCATTATTTGAGGTTGATTTCCGAGAGGAATAAGAGATTAAAGAGTTATCTGTTACAACTCTTTTTAGGTACTCTGTCTCCTCAGTTTGATTTTAAACATCTGGAGGAGGTCTCATTCAGTCTCCAGGATCTAACATGATTCTTCTCCGACTCTTCAGCTCTCTCTCTAATATCACATCTTTCCCACCTAAACTCTAGGGATGGAGAATATTTACAGAATCTCTCATTCACTAAGGTTGGCAGTTATTTCAGTTAATCAAAAAAAGTCTGTGATATTGGCAAATCTCAAAATTAATGCACTACACATGTACCTTAAACATTTTATTTCAATTTAAGGTGAGTGTACTTTTTTTTGGCAGGAGACAATCTTCTGATATAGGATCAAGGCCTTTTCTTTGTGCAGATAACTAGTTAGATGTATGCAAATGAACCATGTTTTTTAGTTTGTGTTTCTCTAAAGTCTAGTGAGAGCCCAGCCAGTCAGCTTTGTTGAGGTATAAATGTAACATTTAGGTGTACCATTCTATGAATGTTGAGAAACTGTCATTGTCAAAAATGCCACCACAATCACTGCAAAACATAGGTTTCCATCACCCAGAAAAGTTTCCTTTTGTCCCCTTTTCATAAATTATTTTTGCCCATCTCTAACCTCTGGCAGCACCTGATCTGATTTTGTCTCTGTAGTTTCGCCTTTTCCCCCAGTGTCATGGAAACGGAATCATGCAGTCTGTAGCCTTCCTAATATTTTATGGCTGTCCTGTTCTTTACCTGGTTTGCCAGGTTTTTTTGGTTTTTCGTCTTCAGAAACTTGTCTTCAAGAATCTTTTCTAAAGCATACATTTTCATTTTCATGACAACTTATTCTTTTTACCTTCATAATAACTTAGTTTTTATAATACTTAATTAAATTACATATTCATAGTAACAGATGTAACAAACAGGATCACAGATGACTCAGTTGGCTGTGGTAAGGATGCAACCTCACTGGCAGGAGTAGACGTGCGCAGGGTGGAATCTGTCACTCGTACTTTTGTGGAGGAAGAGGGAGCCTCACCTCTGAGCTCGTTGAGGTGCTGTCTGTGTGCCCCTGCATCCTCTGTAGGGCATTTCCACAGCTGGCTGGAACCTAGCCGTCAATAAAGTTAAAACCGTCATCCTTAAAAATTCACTTCTCTTAGGATAATCTGCATAGTCATAAGAGCTACTTTAAAGTTAAAAACCATCTTAAGATCAAGGGTTTAGAAAATTAGAAGGAGTTTTATTGTTTGCGTGTTAACTGGGACTTTCCTGAAATAATACCAGGAAAATAAACATTCTTATAAGGCTGCCTAGTTAAATCATACTTTTTTTTAATCATACTTTTGATACGTAAGAGTTGAAGTGTTTATCTCATGTAGTTATTTTCAGAACGACTGCTTAGGATTTGAAATTTTTTATATTTGAAAATCAGTGTAAGTATTTAATAAAAAACAGATTTATAGAGATAGAAAAAGACTACAATAAAGTTGAAAGAAACAAAAAATTTACTGAATTTAGGTAACTTTCCTCTGAGTAAATACATTTCTTTAAAAAAAGCAGACACTCATTTTTATAACTTTCCACCACCAATTAAGTTTATAGTAAATACTAGTTAAGTACTAAATCAAGATTCTTGGTGCCCTGGTAAATAGTTTTGATCAAGTGAAAACAGTCAGAGACCAGATGGTTATTGATGTAAAAAGGAAGAGCTAAAAATGATAAATTATTTATTACAGTATGTTATTTCTCTATAGAATTTTGCATATACAGAGGAAGAGAGATTGGGATTTGGACAAATTTAGTACATGTTGCTCTGTTACATTTGTAAATTGTTATAAACCTTTATACAAAATAGCTAACTTAGCAAAGTAACAGATGAGAAACCAGTAGGGGCTTGGGATGGAGTCTTATGAGATGTTGCCATCTCATCTTATGAGATGTCACGATCTTGGGAAATACGAGCCATCTTAAGTACTGCATACCTGTTTTTCAGATGTCAAGGTCTAAGTAGGCCTCAGCTTACACAGTGATGGTTCCATGTGCCTGGTGGGAATACGAAGATTAAAATATAGTAAGCAGTTTTTTCTTTCTGGACTGTTTCCTTCAGGATGGCTCCAGAAGTCGCGGCTGTCGAGAGGAAAGGGGGGTACAATCAGCTGTGTGACCTCTGGGCGGTGGGGATCACTGCCATAGAACTTGCCGAGCTGCAGCCGCCCATGTTTGACTTACACCCAATGAGGTCAGTATGCGGTACCTGAAGAATGCTGTGCTTAAGTCAAGGTCCCGTCCCCCTCCCAGCAGTATTTATCATGCCATGACCAAATAGCATTCTTAGTTTTGCTTCCCCTTATTTGGGAATAGTAGTAATAGAATTAATGTCATATACTAAAGTATGCAGTCTTAAAATGCTGTGTAATGATTGTTGATTTTTCAGAGCGTTATTTCTAATGACAAAAAGCAATTTTCAGCCTCCTAAACTAAAGGATAAAATGAAGTGGTAAGTATTTTTGTGCTATTTACTTTTATAGTCATGAGCAAAAAAACAGAATTGAAATTTTAAAATCTGATTTTCAAAATTTCTTAGGTCAAATAGTTTTCATCATTTTGTGAAAATGGCACTTACCAAAAATCCAAAGAAAAGACCTACTGCTGAAAAGTTACTGCAGGTATTTTTTTTTTGCCCTGAAAAATGTCTTTTTTCAAAAGGTAAGATGTCACTTAATCAAGACTTCTAATAAGTACTATGTTTTATTTTTATAGCACCCATTTGTCACACAGCCTTTGACACGATCTTTGGCAATTGAACTGTTGGATAAAGTGAATAATCCAGATCATTCCACTTACCATGATTTTGATGACGATGATCCTGAGGTAGGAACTGTTTTTACCATTTTTACCAAGTGGTATATGTAATGTTTGTGTACATAAGTATATACATCTCGGAATCAGTTTGCTTAAGGTCTGGGTCTAATTTAAACAAACTCTTGAGGGAGGAAGTAGCCCCTTGCTTTTGCCTGTCCTGGAGGTCATCAGCTGAGCTTTTCTGTTGGCTACTTTGGAGGACTGGTTCTGCAAGCACTAAAGGTAAAGGCTGCATCGCAGGCGGGGAGGTCCAGTAGTAAAGGCAGAATCGTCTAACCCACTTCTCGAAATTACTCTAGTTATTTTAAAGTAGTCATTTTAGATTAAGTTGCCAAATAAATGATCCATTGTAAAAGAGAATGCAAATGGGAACCACCTATACAAGATGTTAGAATATACACAAAATTTCTCTTCTGTTTTCTTCTCAAAAAGAATCCATGTACAGTACTTCATGAGTTATTAGTGGTTAGTGGGAAGTATAGGGTTGACTTTGTTGGTGACTAATACCCTAATTGTCTGTTGTGTTTATCCAGTGTAATTAGAGAATTAATTAACCCTAGTGTGATGGGAGAATAGATATAAAAGGAAGCTTTCACTTTGTTTGGCATATGTAACATTCCTAACTCAGCTAGTAATTGTGACACCAAAGATCAACTCATACATGTTACATGTCAGGATTCTGTTACTGATTATGTAGCTGAGGTGGATAGTCTTGAACTTGACTGGCTTTTAGAAGGTACTTAAAATGGTGTAAATTTCAGTGATGATACTGAAGAAACTATGGCTCTCAGTGGTCAGAAAGATGGTTTCAGCTTATCTTAGGTCAGAGAACCTTTCTATCAATTTACTATTCTAACTTATATTTAAACAACTGTAAATAAGCCACTGTCCTTTTGTTTAAAGGTCTGGAAAGACATTTGGAAATTAAAAAACTTTAAAAGTATTAAATATTATTGACTTTATACTAGGGAGAAATTGGGTTTTATTGTTTTGCTTTATAAATTCTTCTTTAATTTAATATATAGGTGTTGCCTTGATTTGGATGGTAGTTAAAGGACTGTAAAAATGATCAAGTGAGCTGAAATCCTGCAAAGCAATCTAAATTGTCCATAAGGAAAATTATAATTGTTTTGTGATCTTAAAAAATTTTGTCAAAAAAAAAAATTTTGTCAGAAAATTAAAATCTCTCTTATTGTCAGTTTTAAATGTATAGAGAAGTGAAAAATAGTAAAACTAGTATTTTATTTAGTACATTGTGATATATTAGAACCTGGAGAATTGTTTCTTTTCTTTGTTTAAATAAAAAAACACACTTCGGTAGATTATTTCACTATCAAGTAGTCTGTTTATTGAGTAGATTGCACAGTGTCTGCCTTCTTCTTGTCATTTAACTTCATGACACAGAGCAGGTATTTTTATGCTTTGGTGAATGTCATTTTCCTAAATTCAGAGTGCCTCTAGCATTTTATCCTTTGAACTTTCAGTGTATGAAATAATCTCAGTGTTCCTGTGATGTGAAATTTTTTGCCTCCTCTTCCAGGGCATCTTCATCCTTTTTACCAGAACTTCTTCTTCACTGTGTCAGGTTCGCCTTCACTGAGTTGCCGTGGTTGTATGTCTGCAGTCTCTTGAACAGCGGCAGTGTCAGCGTTCTCACTATCGTCTGTTTTATCTTGCACTTTCATTTCCAACATTAATCCACAGTGATCACTTTCTATTTCTTTGCAGCAGTTTTATCTTTGTTGGCTAATTCCTTTCAGTTACGAGTTTTTGTAAAAATGTCACATGATTATGTTATCCCTGGGAGACAGGGAAACACAGCTACACACTTTGCTGTCTGTGCATGAGTAACAGATGCTCAGAGATCAGTCATAGATGGACTTTGAAAGCAGTGATGTGATTAGCCACTGATCATGATGTACATCTGTTATTATAAACAGACTATAAATCGTCTTGCCTGGTAGCTCAGTCAGTAAATAGTCTGCTTGCAGTGCGGGAGGCCCGGGTTCAATCTCTGGGTCAGGAAGAGCGATCCCCTGGAGAAGGAAATGGCAACCCACTCGAGTATTCTTGCCTGGAGAATCCCATGTATAGAGACCCTGCTGGGCTACAGTCCATGGGGTCACAAAGAGTTGGACATGACTGTGACTAACACACACACACAAATCTATAGTCATTTGTGGACTGAAGAGCTCACAGTAAAGTTTCTATCTTACGCAATTACAATCAGTATACTGACTGTTGATAAGATACTAATATACTGAATAACATATAATTAATAATTTATAATATACAATTAATATATTGGTGACTAAAATTTGAATCATGTTATAGAGGACTAGTATAATTTAACTGTATTATAGTAACTGAAATTCATGTGTATCAAGATTCAGGACATGGACTGCCTGTACTCTTCCAGTGCATTAGATGCTGCACTGTCATCTCTCACTTTATCCTGTTTACTTGTTGTGCTGGATTATAAAGTCCTTGAAAATGTGTTTAAAGAGGAGAAATAATAAACCAAATGTAGAAGTAAGCTGTAGAATAAAGACTTCTGAAATTTTCTCATATGGCAGAGAAAGAAATTTCTCCTTATCAAGACTGTGTTATTGGTGTTATAGGTTAAGGATGGGGGTAGCTTTTCTTCTGACCACAGTTTAAGATCTTTTTATTTTATTTTTTTTGATCACTTTCCCCAGAGAAGTTTATAGTAATTTATACATATATACTACAGTATATGTTATGCATAGAAGGTAATATCTAACAGTCTTATTATTTGTAAATGATTTGTAATTGCTAAATGCTGTGTTGTCACTCAGAATTTGAATGTGTTTAGTATTTCAGCACTTGCTGATACTGTATATATATTGTGGAAACTGAATTCTCTTGAAAATATTTAGCACATGTACTAGTTCTACTTTAGTCTTTAGTTTTTCTTTAATTTATCATACATTATTCACAGTGGAAGAAAGTCCACTTTTCATGTAGGGTTCCCATGTAATTTCTATTTTAGAAGTACTGCATGTTGAAGTAATTGTGATTCTGGTTTTTACTTCATAGTATTTTCTTCTATATGTTAACCCATTTATTAGGTACAACATTGTAAGATTTAACAACTTCATAATTTTTTTTTCTTTTTCTTTTTTTTTTAAATTAGTTGGAGACTAATTACTCCACAATATTATAGTGGGTTTTGTCATACATTGACATGAATCAGCCATGGATTTACATGTGTTTCCCCATCCCGATCCCCCCTCCCACCTCCCTCTCCGCCCGATCCCTCTGGTTCTTCCCAGTGCACCAGGCCCGAGCACTTGTCTCATGCATCCAACCTGGGCTGGCGATCTGTTTCACCCTAGATAATATACATGTTTCGGTGCTGTTCTCTTGAAACATCCCACCCTCGCCTTCTCCCACAGAGTCCAAAATTCTGTACTATACATCTGTGTCTCTTTTTCTGTTTTGCATATAGGGTTATCGTTACCATCTTTCTAAATTCCATATATATGTGTTAGTATACTGTATTGGTCTTTATCTTTCTGGCTTACTTCACTCTGTATAATGGGCTCCAGTTTCATCCATCTCATTAGAACTGATTCAAATGAATTCTTTTTAATGACTGAGTAATATTCCATGGTGTATATGTACCACAGCTTCCTCATCCATTCGTCTGCTGATGGGCATCTAGGTTGCTTCCATGTCCTGGCTATGATAAACTGTGCTGTGATGAACATTGGGGTGCACGTGTCTCTTTCAGATCTGGTTTCCTTGGTGTGTATGCCCAGAAGTGGGATTGCTGGGTCATATGGCAGTTCTATTTCCAGCTTTTTAAGAAATCTCCACACTGTTTTCCATAGCGGCTGTACTAGTTTGCATTCCCACCAACAGTGTAAGAAGGTTCCCTTTTCTCCACACCCTCTCCAGCATTTATTGCTTGTAGACTTTTGGATAGCAGCCATCCTGACTGGCGTGTAATGGTACCTCATTGTGGTTTTGATTTGCATTTCTCTGATAATGAGTGATGTTGAGCATCTTTTCATGTGTTTGTTAGCCATCTGTATGTCTTCCTTGGAGAAATGTCTGTTTAGTTCTTTGGCCCATTTTTTGATTGGGTCATTTATTTTCCTGGAGTTGAGCTGCAGGAGTTGCTTGTATATTTTTGAGATTAATCCTTTGTCTGTTGCTTCATTTGCTATTATTTTCTCCCAATCTGAGGGCTGTCTTTTCACCTTGCTTATAGTTTCCTTTGTTGTGCAAAAGCTTTTAAGTTTCATTAGGTCCCATTTGTTTATTTTTGCTTTTGTTTCTAATATTCTGGGATGTGGGTCATAGAGGATCCTGCTGTGATTTATGTCGGAGAGTGTTTTGCCTATGTTCTCCTCTAGGAGTTTTATAGTTTCTGGTCTTACATTTAGATCTTTAATCCATTTTGAGTTAATTTTTGTGTATGGTTAGAAAGTGTTCTAGTTTCATTCTTTTACAAGTGGTTGACCAGTTTTCCCAGCACCACTTGTTAAAGAGGTTGTCTTTTTTCCATTGTATATCCTTGCCTCCTTTGTCAAAGATAAGGTGACCATAGGTTCGTGGATTTATCTCTGGGCTTTCTACTCTGTTCCATTGATCTATATTTCTGTCTTTGTGCCAATACCATACTGTCTTGATGACTGTGGCTTTGTAGTAGAGTCTGAAGTCAGGCAGGTTGATTCCTCCAGTTCCATTCTTCTTTCTCAAGATTACTTTGGCTATTCAAGGTTTTTTTGTATTTCCATACAAATTGTGAAATTATTTGTTCTAGTTCTGTGAAAAATACCGTTGGTAGCTTGATAGGGATTGCATTGAATCTATAGATTGCTTTCGGTAGTATAGCCATTTTGACAATATTGATTCTTCCAATCCATGAACGCGGTATATTTCTCCATCTATTTGTGTCCTCTTTGATTTCTTTCATCAGTGATTTATAGTTTTCTATGTATAAGTCTTGTGTTTCTTTAGGGAGATATACTCCTAAGTATTTTATTCTTTTTGTTGCAATGGTGAATGATATTGTTTCCTTAATTTCTCTTTCTGTTTTCTCATTGTTAGTGTATAGGAATGCAAGAGATTTCTGTGTGTTAATTTTATATCCTGCAACTTTACTATATTCGTTGATTAGCTCTAGTAATTTTCTGGTAGAGTCTTTAGGGTTTTCTATGTAGAGGATCATGTCAACAACTTTATAATTATACCTTTGAAGCTGGGAAAGTAAAACGACTCTTGTAGAAAGGGCAGATTTCATCCATGTTCACTGATAACGGCAATATGTGTTACTAATCTAACATGACAGCTATTTTTTGCTTGTTTTTGCTCCAAATATTGTTATCAAAGGTCCAGGGTTTTTCTCATTCTGCAGCTAACTAGCTGAATGTCTTGATCTATAAAATGAAGATAAAGATTTGTTTCACAAATTTGAGAACAGAATGGGCTAAGGTATAGGAAAGCACTTTGTAAACTACAACTCACTGTGTATGTTTGAAGTTTAAATACTTAATTTTTATAGTTATTTTTGCTTCTGTTTTATTACCCATTGGTGTTTTAATATTTGGGTCTCTCAGATTCATATATCTGTATTTCCTGAGAGATGTCTACACTGAGAATAGTTAACTTGGGTCCTGTTCTTGATTTGCCATAAAGAGTCTTAAGGATTCGAACTCAAGTGTTTATGAATTACATTTTCCAAAAAGATAGATGTAAGAGTGTATCTTCTTCACAGCTAATAACTTCAAAGATAATGTTTCACACACAGGGAGAAAAACCTATTTGGTACGTGAAATAGATGCTGGTATATAGAGTATATAGAATGAAGTTGCAAAAGCTTTTCAGATAGAGCCATTTTTACTCCATAAAGATTGGAGAATGTCCATGTGTTAGTATTAACAGGAAGAACTCACCCCCACTTCCCCTCGCCTCAGGATACCTCTCTCTGAACATGACAGTACACATAGAGAGATTTTAATAAAGTAAAAGGAAAGAAAATAAAGTGCTACTTCTACAAGAAAAAACATTAAGGTGGGGGAAATGTTGTGTTTACTAGGTAAGACCATAAATCATTTATGCCTCTGGCATTATTTCATTTATCCTTGATATAAGGAGTTGAGGCAGATTTTTTTAAATTAGTTTTATCCTCTGAAACAGGGAAAGCTTGCTGCAGCTTTTGAACACCTCTTGTATTGTCAAAATATTCGTTTTTGAATATTTATTTATGTTCAACTCATGAGAACACGCCTATATTCACTTATAAGAATATGCCTGCAATGCGTGAGACCTGAATTCAGTCCCTGGGTTGGGGAAATCACCGGAGGCGAGAATGGCTCTGCACTACAGTATTCTTGCCTGGAGAATCCCATGGACAGAGGAGCCTGGCGGGCTGCAGTCCACGGGGCCGCAGAGAGTTGCACACTGAGCAATGGCACTTTCATAAGAAAACTTTGGGAACCTGCTGTGGACAGTGTTTATCCCTAATCTCAAGCTCCCAATCTGAAGAGAAAGAGTTTTCAATTTGCGGTTGCCATTTAAAAATAATAGTAATAATAAAGTTGTATTTTGTTCCCATTGTTATGTAAAGTGAGAGATTTCTTTCATATGTGGGTAATTCTGTGGACAGGACAGTGACTTGTCCGTGACTTTGTCCTTTCCCAGCCTCTTGTTGCTGTCCCGCATAGGATTCACTCAACGAGTAGAAATGTGAGAGAGGAAAAAACACGCTCGGAGATAAACTGTAAGTATATATTGTATAGAGTTTGTAATTTAACAACGAAAAATAAGATTTCAAGTTGTAATTTAGTTGCCGCTATTTTTGTTCCATTTTCTTCCAAATAGTTTTTATATTTTAGATACTTGGAAAGGTAGAGTTTAATTAAGGCAGTAAGGATTTTGTTTCCTTGATCCTGGGAGCTTTCTGGCGGTGGCTGGGGATGTGTATTTACGTTGTTCTTGTTTGGGGAATGGAATAAAGTTCCTAGAGTAGGCAGGATAGAAGGAATTAAGGCAGTCCTCCCTAAACTTCCTTGTTAGTAGCACTTGCCTAGAGAGCTTGCTAAAATGCCCTTCCTGATTCAGTAGTTCTGAGGTGAAATCTGAGGTTCTCTGCTTCTGACAAGCTCCCAGGTTACACCGAAGCTGATGGTCCAGAAGAGGAGAGGGCTGCAAACTTAAAAGCTAAGTAATGCAAGTAGGGACAGACACTATCACCATTTAATAGAAAATAAAAAAGGATTGCAAAGATGAATAGATCTGCCTGTAGGGTGGAGTCGTACAGCTGACTAATGACAAGCCCGAGATCACTCGGCTTCCAGGCCAGAGGTCTTTGGCTCCACAGGGACCACCTCGGCACACCTGTGTGACCTTCACCCTGGAAGTCCTTTGTGAACCTTCCTTTGGAATTGTGGCTGGACCTTATACTGTGTATTAAGTTCTTGGCAGATTTTGGTGCTGGTGCTACCTAGAAATGCTCTTATAAGATGGAAAATCTTGAAAGATAAGCACCATCTACTTGGCAAAAAGCCCAGGACTGAGATTTATACTTTGCCTACAGTCGGTTTTGTGACCATGTTAAATTACCTTTATAGCTCCCACTGAAGCCATGTGGTTTAAATTTGCTAATTTCTCCTCAAAAGTGTTTTTCTGAAAATGACAACTTAGCATGCAAGCATTCCCCATTTTTTTTTAAAAATGGTATTTTTATTTATTTTATTTATTATTATTATTTTACTTTGGCTCTGCTGGGTCTTTGTTGTGGCATGCAGGCTTAGTTGACCCTTGGCATGTGGAATCTTCCCAGACCAGGGATGGAACCCACGTCCCTTTCATTGCAAAGTGGATTCTCAACCACTGGACCACCAGGAAAGTCCCCCATTATTTTTTAAACTTTAAAAAATTCATTTATTTTATTTTTGACTGTGCTGGGTCTTTGTTGCTATGTGTGGGCTTTCTCTAGTTGGTGGCAAGTGGGGCTACTCTAGTTGTAGCACATGGGCATCTCATTGCGGTGACTCCTTGTTGCAGAGCGTGGGTTCTAGAGCATGAGGGCTCAGTAGTTGTGGTACAAGAACTTAGTTGCTTGGTGGCATGTGGAATCTTCCCAGACCAGGGATTGAACCCATATCCCCTGTATGATAGGCGGATTCTTAACCATTGGACCCCCAGAAAAGTCCTCCATTATTTTTTAATATGCGAAAGTAGTTACAATATGTCTTTGTCATTTCTTTAATAATACAAAAGGTGATTAGAGATGCCTTTGTAGTTGATTCAGAAAACCTTATGTGTTCAGTACTATTGAAAATCTGAAGTACTTTCTATTATGTTCTCTAGTTATATTTTTAAGTTGTATTGTCAGGCCCTTTATTGCAAAGTGCAGTTACCTCTGGGTCCTTCTTTAGTAGTTAGTATCAGCTCCTAACTACATATGCATATATATTCTATTTAGCTAAATACCGTCTATTTAGCTAAATACTAGTTTTTCTGAGATTCTGATACATCCCGTTTTTGGTGGGAGCAGGTGATACATGACGGACATTTTCTTCCCATTTACCAGTAAGAAAGGAGTCATGTCCCTCTAGTATGTTGAGGTAGTAACAGGATTAAAATCACCACTTCTTATAACTTGTGGGTTTGATATTTGAGCCTTTAAAATCTTATACAGTGTTCTAGTATATGGTTTCTTAGGATGTTTTATGATTTTATATGAGATTTATAAAGAATAGGCAGTCATGCTATTGACAATAAAGACAGGCTTTGAAAAATAACTTATTTTAGTAGTCGTATATCTTTGTTCCTTTAATAATGTTTTATGTTTACGATTACATGATGTCTCTTCATGTAACTGAGGTTTTCTGTTTATTAAGCTAAGTGGTGTTAAGGCAATATATGTAAAAACTGACTCACTTTCAGAAAAGTTGTTTCAGAAAAATCTTTCCCTTTTAGAAAGTCGCCTCTGCCTTCAGTTAAATATGATAAGCAAAGACTTGCTGTGTCTGCCATAGTCGGATCAGTTTTGACCCTAATAGTAGTGATGGTCAGCAAGTGATTGTGTCAGAGCTGCTTGAGAGAACTAAGAGGGAGTTTTCGTCTGGATGCTGCTGCTTCGTCACTTCAGTCGTGTCCAACTCTGTGAGGCCCCATGGACTGCAGTCCACCAGGCTCCTCTGTCCATGGGATTCTCTAAGCAAGAGTACTAGAGTGGGTTGCCATGCCCTCCTCCAGGGGACCTTCCCAACCCAGGAAATGAACCCGGATCCCCTGCGTCGCATGCAGATTCTTTACCACTGAGCCACCAAGGAAGCCCTTTCCTCTGGATAGTAAACCATAAATTTATGGTTTGTAACTTGACATATGTTCAAGGAGATAGTAGCAGAAACAGAGATCAAGACCAATAGACGGTTACAGATAAGTAGGAATTTTCTACATTATTAAGAACATCATAAATAGCACTACAGCCTGGGGTGATTGTCCAGCAGTTATTTGAACAGAAGCTGGAAGGTCCTGTGGCAGAAACTGTCGTAACTTTTTAGGGAAGTTGGAAAGAACAGAAGAGTGATACCAGTGTAAGGCGTGAAGAATGAATCTCCAGAGGGGCTTTGTGACTCTTTCTGGGAATGCATTCCCACAGAGTATAAGGGTGTTGAATACCTATGACAATTGGGGTTCTGCCTTGTTATGAAAGTTAGTCTTAGGACAGCATCACTTAAATCCACGCACCTTATCTTTGACAAAGGGGAGGCAAGAATATACAATGGAGAAAAGACAATCTTTAACAAGTGGTGCTGGAAAAACTGGTCAACCACTTGTAAAAGAATGAAACTGGAACACTTTCTAATACCGTACACAAAAATAAACAGAATGGATTAAAGATCTAAGTGTAAGACCAGAAACTATAAAACTCCTAGAGGAAAATATAGGCAAAACACTCTCTGACATAAATCACAGCAGGATCCTCTATGACCACCTCCTGGAGTAATGGAAATAAAAGCAAAAATAAACAAATGGGACCTAGTGAAACTTAAAAGCTTTTGCACAGCAAAGGAAACTATAAGCAAAGTGAAAAGACAGCCTTCAGAATGGGAAAAAAATAATAGCAAACGAAACAACTGACAAAGAATTAATCTCAAAAATATACAAGCAGCTCCTGCACCTCAATTCCAGAGAAATAAACAACCCAATCAAAAAATGGGCCAAAGAACTAAGCAGATATTTCTCCAAAGAAGACATACAGATGGCTAACAAACACATGAAAAGATGCTCAACATCACTCATTATCAGAGAAATGCAGATCAAAACGACAATGAGGTACCATCTCATGCCGGTCAGAATGGCTGCTATCAAAAAGTCTACAAACAATAAATGCTGGAGAGGGTGCAGAGAAAAGGGAACCCTCTTATGCTGTTGGTGGGAATGCAAACTAGTACAGCCACTATGGAGAACAGTGTGGAGATTCCTTAAAAAACTGGAAATAGAACTGCCATATGACCCAGTAATCCCACTGCTGGGCATACACACCAAGGAAACCAGAATTGAAAGAGACACGTATACCCCAGTGTTCATCGCAGCACTATTTACAATAGCTAGAACATGGAAGCAACCTAGATGCCCATCAGCAGACGAATGGATAAGAAAGCTGTCGTACATGTACCCAATGGAATATTACTCAGTTATTAAAAAGAATGCATTTGAATCAGTTCTAATGAGGTGGATGAAACTGGAGCCTATTATACAGAGTGAAATAAGTCAGAAAGAAAAACACCAATACAGTTTATTAATGCATATATATGGAATTTAGAAAGATGGTAACGATGACCCTATATGGAGACAGCAAAAGAGACACAGATGTAAAGAACAGACTTTTGGACTCGGTGAGGGTGGGATGATTTGAGACCATAGCATTGAAACGTGTATTATCATATGTGAAATAGATCGCTAGTCCACCTTCGATGCATGAGACAGGGCGCTCGGGGCTGGTGCACTGGGATGACCCTGAGGGATGGGATGGGGAGGGAGGCGGGAGGGGATTCAGGATGGGGAACACATGTACACCCATGGCTGATTCATGTCAGTGTATGGCAAAAACCACTACAATATTGAAAAGTAATTAGCCTCCAGTTAAATAAATGTTTTAAAAAAGGAAGACAGTATCACTGTGCCCCGGTGCTCAGTAATTATGCAGTCCAGTGAAAACAGACATTTCCCATGTGACGATAACAAGGCAGATAATGCATGAACCTGTCCTCGTGTAACTTTATTAGAGATGTAATTTTGCTATTTGGTGACAGGTGTAGGTGAGAGTTGTTCAGTAGGCCTCTATCAAGGTGAGATACATATATATGTATGTGTATATATATGTGTATGTATGTATAACATGTTTTAGTATCTTACTAAAAACTATTTTGTAATCTTTGATGTGTGATCTTATGTGAACAGGCATGAGGAACCCATTATTGAAGAGCCTGCTTATCTCCAAGAGCCAGAATTTTATATCTAGCTCATAACAGCTATAAAGCATATAGATACCTCACACACAGCTGTGTATTTTGTAGGGCTGTTTCTCAGCCTTCTTTACTTGTGCTTCCTAGTGCTAAATGTTCAAAAAATCTCATGATCTCCTTTCATTGTTATTAACATTCACAGTAATCATACATACTAAGTTAAAATCAAAACAGTTACAAAATGAGTGTGCTTTGAAATCTCACTCGTTTCCCTGCCTTGATTGAGAATTGTTTTGGCTGAAGCTCAAGCTCTCACTAGTTGAGCTGTAATACTCTGACTCTCTGTTTTGCTTCTTTTTCATGTTTTATATTTGTGTGCCTGCTTTTATCTCAGTGGTCTTGAATGCTGTTCCACGTTATAAGAGCAGATAGTGACAGTGAGATACAGAAATTAAAGATAAAGGTAGTGAATCATTCATTAAATTAGAATAGCAGGGGGAAAAGTGAATTAGTATAGTAAGTTTACGTCGGCTCTAATATTTAGATTATATTTTCGCTGTAGAAGTGTGCTAGTTATTTATTGTTGTTTAACAAATTACCCCCAAAATGTAGCAACTTAAAGCAATAAACATTTATTATCTCACACACATTCAGGGATCCAGGACAGCTTGGCTGAGTGGTTCTAGCTCAGGGCCTGTCATGAAGCTCCAATCAGAGTGTCGGCAGGGGCTGCAGTTTCCCAAAGGCTTAACTAGTGTAGCGGATTTGCTTCCAGAGTTACTCACATATTGTTAGCCCGAGACTTCAGTTCCTTGCAGTGTAGCCTCTCCATAGTGCTGCTCAACATGACTTCCTCCAGTGCCAAGTGATCAGTAGAGAGAGCACCCAGGGCAGAAGCCTCATCTCGGAAGCTATATGCTATCACTGTGCCGTCTTCCTCTCATCACATAGGCCACCCCGGGATGTAGGAAGGGACTACACAGCATTATGAAGGTCAGGAGGCAGGACTCATCAGAGACCACCTTGCAGGCTGGTGTCAGAAATACTCTGCCTGAATTGCTGTCTGTCTATAAAGTCCTAAGTTAAGATTGTCTGTGTTTAATGCTGGGTCACAATGAAGTAGCAAGTTAGATCCTGACATAATTTTGCTAATCATCTTTGGGTTAATAGATTAAGCTTTAACAGCTTAGACTTTCTTAGGTTTCTTCCAGCTAACAGATTGTTTATTTAAATCTTTGGATATTAATCAATCTATAGGAGATGGTAAAATTAAATGTGTTTTGCTATGGAGTAACTTTTTAAATTATTATTAAGGATGTTGAAACAGATCACAGCTTTACTTTTTTATCATTTTTCAGTTGGCCAAGTAAAATTTGATCCACCCTTAAGGAAGGAGACAGAACCACATCATGAACTTGTAAGTAGTGTAATCTTGGAATCTTAACACTGAAAATAAATGTTTTAATTAGTCTTTGTGATTTGTTGGCACTGACTACAAAAGCTAAGTTATTAAGATTTTCTAAGCCTTTGGGGAAATAAAAAGGTAAGTAATTCTAAAATTCAAAATAAATAAATCTGTGTTGCTGAGATTAAATATTTTCAAAATTACTTTAGGAGAAACTTAGTTTTGTACCATTCTCTGATTAAATGTTTTTAATGATTTTTTTTCTTTTTTCTTTTTTTTTTGCAATTTTTGAGGGGCTTTTTGCAGATATATTTATTAGGATAAATGCCACAGTCTTAAACAAGAATTTTGGACCAGTGATAGTGTTAATACCTCTTCTCATTAAATTTATGGGCAAATTTTTAAGAGTGTCAGCCACTTTTCTAAACATCAAGGCAGAATCCAATCTCCTTAGAGTAACTGAAATTCAGGAGAGACTAGGTGTACAAAGCAGATTAAGTTTATCATTTATTTAAAGATTGCTAAAATGTTCTTTTCATGATTCTTTTTTGTTAATTTTTTATATACTGCTTTCCAGATATATGATAAAACATTAAATGCAATCTTGGAAGCAAAATGCTATGCAAACATATGAGATGTTAATAGTCTGCAGAGAAATAAAAAATGAGACTTAGAAAACAAACAAAATCAATCTTATGAAATTACTTAACCAAGTTCCAGATTGTATGTTTCATTTTTTTTTTTTCCCTTTCCTGCTTAATAATGAGAAGAAGGTAACTTAATGAATGCTCAGGACTGAAGTGGGAACTTTCTCCTTAAATGTAATGCTTATCTCAATCTACTTGACTAACGGCATACAAAGAGAGTCTTTAGCTTTTAATATAAAGAGTTGCTCTCAGTATTCCAGCATGGGAAAAAATTCTTAACATGTTAAGAATGTTAAAAGAAAAATTCTTAACATGATCATGTTATAGTACTTCAGCCTGACCTTTATGGAGAATGGAGAAGGTTAACAAGAAAAAGTCATGATGTTTATAAATGCCAGTTGTTATTTTCTGCTTCTCTTTTTAAGTTAGCACTGCATGTATTTAAATTCTGTACTAATTTAGTAACTGTATTATATAGCAAAGTTGTTGCGCTATTGCTTTTTTAGAAGCTGCTTAATTGGATTTACTTTGCATTGACCTTAATGAAATGATATAGCAGGCCTGACTGACTTCCCTTGTGGAAGCCTCCCTGTGTGAATGTGTGGCTTTTAGTCTGAGCGTCAATAACTTGGGTTTCTTGGTCTCTGCCGAACAGTGCGACAGTGATGATTTTTTGGACAGTTCAGAAGAAATATACTACACTGCAAGATCTCATCTGGTATTTCTCATCTTCTGATTTTCTTTGTCAGCATTGTTTTAGTCTTAATTGTTTTTAGGTTTTTTTTTTTTAATCAACCATTTTGTTCAGTTTTAATGAATCAGTTTAAGCATTGTTTTATAAATTCCTGCCAGTAAGCAACCTACCATATATTAAGGATTATGGCAATTTTTTCTACAAGGTAAACGTATTTACTCAAAGATATTACAATGTTACAGTAAAAATTAATTTATTTTTTATAAAAACTTTCTTTTCTCACTCAGATATAAATTTTTTCTTTAGATATTGCATTTCCCTAGAAACATGCCCAGTGTGAATAATGTAACTTGTTTTAGTGAACTTTATTATAAACCATCCATGTATATACATATCCATATATTTCAAAAATAAAATATATGTAATTTTAAAAAATAATTTACCCCTAATTAACAATGAAATCCATCTCAGATGAAATTTTAACTTGGTAATATTATGTAATATCCAGTTTTCTCAGGCCAAAATGTGGGTTATAAGGACTCCCTGAAGTTTTAAATACTAAGACTATCTTACCATTAGGTAAGAAAAGATGAGAAATTAACCCTAGCAAATATTAAATAGTACTTTTAATAGTTGTTATTAAGTAGTTTTTTCAATTTTTGTAGCTGGCCAGGGCCCCAAGTTGCCTCAGCATTTACTTCTAGATCTACTTTTCTGCCTTTTCAATTGAATTTTCCTTCTCTTTCCTTCCTCTCATACCTGTTTTAGTTCTGGTTAGTTTAAATGATTCTTTATAAAAATTTCTAAATATATGCCCAATAACATTTGTAGAACATAAAAGAGACTTAAGATATAGTTTTCCTTTTAGGAAAGTTGCTGTCTTGATACGTGGAAAATACTTGTATATGTAAACCCTTTGCCTGACAACAAAATGTATAGTGCACTGCCAGAGTTTCTTCTGGTGGTGACTGTTGTTTGAGGAGACTCTAACATATAATAGGTACTATGGAAATCGAAGGAGAAAAGCTTTGGAGTTAATGTGATTCATCTGGTTTGTGGGAGGAACTAAAAGTCTGATTTCAGTATTGTGTAGGAATCATTATATGTTTTTCAGGGAAGGAAATGAACAAATGACTCCTGTGTTTCATGGGAATTAATGTGGGAACAGTCATTGACAGTTTTGAGAGATGGCAGATAAAGAGCTGAAATTATGGAGTGGTTATACTACTACTAATTATGAAATTAGCTCAGAAAAGGAAGGTTCATGTCATCAAAGAGGAAGTGATAGATAAAGCCATGAGATTGCATGTGTTCCCCAGTTAGGTCTGAAGAAAGAAAGTGCAGAAAACTAGTTACCACAGCGGTGATGCCTGTTTTGTGGTCAGAGGTAGAGCCAGCACTGGAGGTGGGGAAGAAGCAGCTGAGACACTGAAAGAGTCAGTAAATGGCCCAGAGGGGCCAGAAGACATGAGGCCAGAACTAATTGTCTGAGGGGACAGGTGAGATGCAGTGTCTGAAGACAACACTGCCAGTGATTTGTGGATAGAAAATTTCTTCAAAATTAGGCATATGTAGGCTAGAATGACAGTTAGTGAAATTTGTTGTGGAAATAAAAGACCATAGACTCAAAAGTTTAAAATGACTATTTTATGTATTTATATTCTCCAGAAAAAAAACAGCAAAACAGGAAACCATTTTAGAGTTACAGTCTTTTTCTCTTCCCTGTGTGTAACTCACCTAGTAACTTGAGTGAGTTACCATGGCTCTGTTCTCTCAATCTACCTCCCACACCCCTATCTCATGATAGTGGGGCCAGTTGACCAGGGGGTCTTGTGACAGAGAAGAGCTTTAGAGACATTCAACTTGTGGATAGTTCTGGAAGAAGAGGAATGAATGAAGTATTTGTCAGATCCTACCATTTATAAAATCAACCTTTAAAAATCCACTTTCATTGATAACACTCCTGTTCCCCCATCCCCAACCCCTGGCAGTTGCCATTCTATTTTCTATGTCTTTGAAGTTTTCTGTACTCTATGTAAATGTATTCTGTATCCCATGTAAGTGGAATCATGCATTATTTGTCCTTTTGTTACAAATAATATAAGTGAAGTGACTGGCTCACTTCACTTGGCATAATGTCGTAACATCTTCAAGATTCATCTATATTGTAGCACGTGTCAGAATTTCTTAAGTCTGAATAATATTTCATTGTATTTATAACTGCATGTTGTTTCTCCATTAATCCATCAATGGACTCTTCTTGTGAATAATGCTGCTGAGAACCTGGATATATAAACATCCGTCGAGTTTCTGCTTTTAGTTCTTCTGGGCATATAACTGGAAGGGTGATTGCTGGATCATGTGTTACTTCTACACTTGATTTTGGGGGGAATTACCATACTGTTTTCTATAGCAGCTGCATCATTTTACAGTCCCACCAGCAGTGCACAAGGGTTCCAATTTTCTCCACATCCTCAATGCTTGTTATTTTCTGAGTGTATGTCTGTTTTATTGAAGTATAGTTGATTTATAGTATTCCCATTAGTTTCTGGTGTGTTGCATAGTGATTCAGGCTTTTTGTAAAGATTATATTCCATTATAGGTTGTTATAAGATATCAGGTATAATTCCCTGTGTTATACAACAAATCCTTTTTGCTTGTCTATTTTATATTTTGTAGTTTGTATCAGTTAATCCCATACTTCTATTTTTCTCTCCTCCTCCTCTCTCCCTTTTGGTAACTATAAGTTTATTTTCTGTGTCTGTGAGTCTGTTTCTGTTTTATGAATAGATTAATTTTTATTATTTTTTAGATTCTGCATAGACTAGGCATAATATTGTATAAGCCAGTCCACGTTGATGCTAATGGCAATATTTCATTCTTTTTTATGACAGCATTATTTCATTGTGTGTACCATACCACATCTTCTGTTGATGGGTACTTGGGCTGCTTCCATCTCTTGACATTGTAAATAGTGCTGCTGTGAACTTCGAGGTGCATGTGTCCTTTCACATCAGCGTTTTTGTTTTTTTGGTGTGAAGCATCCATAATTATATCAGTCTCCTACTTTCATAGTTCTTAGCACTGTGAACAGGATTTCAACTCTTAATAAATACTTAGTGCTGGCCGCTAAAAACCTGATGGGCCCAAAATGTCTGGCTGTTATCTTAGTAGACAGTTGGCACCAAGATGACGGCCCTAAATCTTTTGCGACTGAAAAGAAGCATTTACCCTCTTAAAGACCTCACCACCTTACTTGTCATCAGTGATTGCTGGTTGCAAGTATTTTCATCTTACGGCTTTTGTAAATGAATCCAGAATATTATTATACCTCAATTTCCATTACTTATAATAGAGATTTTTTTAATCAGGCAATCTTAATATGTGAAATATATATGAAATATTTGAAAAGAACAGAGCTTGATTTTAGCATTGTTGGTTTAAAAAAAAAGTCTTTAAATTTTGAAAGATGCCTGAGTTACAAAAGCAAAGAGAAAACTCAGCAAAATTCGATAATAGTAAGAGTTTTGCCCATAACCATATAAATGGATATATCTCATCTACAAGATGCTGTCATTATGTTAAAAGAATATAGTACACGTCTGTTCAGCTACTGCTGATTTTCCTAGTTGTACTAGGCATTTTAGCCCATATACCAGTGAGAAATACAATGAAAGGTAATTGCAGCTTACTCTTGAACAGCAGAGGGATTAGGGGCACCAGCAGTTAAAAGTCCGAGTGTAACTGTGAAGCTAGGTGTCCTGCGCTTCTGCATTTTCAGGTTCAGCCAACAGCCTATCATGTGGTATTGTAGTATGTACTTTCTGAAAAAAAGTCAGCATATTAAGTGGATACATCCAGGTGGCACTAGTGGTAAAGAACCTGCCTGCCAATGCAAGAGATGTAAGAGACTAGATCTGATAGACAGAGTGCCTGATGAACTATGGATGGAGGTTCGTGACATTGTACAGGAGACAGGAATCAAGACCATCCCCAAGAAGAAGAAATGCAGAAAAGCAAAATGGCTGTCTGAGGAGGCCTTGCAAATAGCCATGAAAAGAGAAGCAAAAAGCAAAGGAGAAAAGGAAAGATACACCCATTTGAATGCAGAGTGCCAAAGAATAGCAAGGAGAGATAAGAAAGCCTCCCTGGGTGATGATTGCAAAGAAATAGAGGAAAACAAAACAAAACAAAAAAAAGAAATAGAGGAAAACAATAAAATGGGAAAGACCAGAGATCTCTTCAAGAATATTAGAGATACCAAGGGAACATTTCATGCAAAGATGGGCTCAATAAAGGACAGAAAACAGAAGCAGAAGCAGAACAGAAGCAGAAGATAATAAGAAGAGGTGGCAAGAATACACAGAACTGTACAAAAAAGATCTTCATGACCCAGATAACCACGACTGTGTGATCACTCACCTAGAGCCAGACATCCTAGAATGTGAAGTCAAGTGGGCCTTAGGAAGCATCACTAGGAACAAAGCTAGTGGAGGTGATGGAATTCCAGTTGAGCTATTTCAAATCCTAAAAGGTGATGCTTTGAAAGTGCTGCACTCACTATGCCATCTAATTTGGAAAACTCAGCAGTAGCCACAGGACTGGAAAAGGATTGTATTCCAATCCCAAAGAAAGGCAATGCCAAAGAATGCTCAAACTACTGCACAGTTGCACTCATCTCACACGCTAGTAAAGTAATGCTCAAAATTCTCCAAGACAGGCTTCAACAGTACATGACCCGTGAACTTCCAGATGTTCAAACAGGTTTTAGAAAAGGCAGAAGAACCAGAGATCAAATTGTCAACATCCGCTGGATCATCAAAAAAGTAAGAGAGTTCCAGAAAAACATCTATTTTTGCTTTATTGACTATGCCAAAACCTTTGACTGTGTGGATCACAATAAACTGTGGAACAAATTCTGAAAGAGATGGGATACACCTGACGTGCCTCTTGAGAAATCTGTATGCAGGTCAGGAAGTAACAGTTAGAACTGGATGTGGAATAATAGACTGGTTCCAAATAGGGAAAGGAGTATGTCAAGGCTGTATATTGTCAGCCTGCTTATCTAACTTATATGCACAGTACATCATGAGAAGCTCTGGGCTGAATGAAGCACAAGCTGGAATCAGGATTGCCAGGAGAAATATCAATAACCTCAGATATGCAGATGACACCACCCTTACAGCAGAAAGTGAAGAACTAAAGAGCCTCTTGATGAAAGTGAAAGAGGAGAGTGAAAAAGTTGGCTTAAAACTCAACATTCAGAAAACTAAGATCATGGCATCTGGTCCCATCACTTCATGGCAAATAGATGAGGAAACAGTGGCAGACTTTATTTTTGGGGGCTCCAAAATCACTGCAGATGGTGATTGCAGCCATGAAATTAAAAGACGCCTGCTCCTTGGAAGGAAAGTTATGACCAACCTAGACAGCATATTAAAAAGCAGAGACATTACTTTGCCAACAAAGTTCTGTCTGGTCAAGGCTATGGTTTTTCCAGTAGTCATGTATGGATATGAGGGTTGAACTGTAAAGAAAGCTGAGTGCCAAAGAATTGATGCATTTGAACTGTGGTGTTGCGGAAGACTCTTGAGAGTCCCTTGGACTACAAGAAGATCCAACCAGTTCATCCTAAAGGAGATCAGTCCTGGGTGTTCACTGGAAGGACTAATGTTGAAGCTGAAACTCCAATACTTTGGCCACCTGATGAGAAGGCTGACTCATTGGAAAAGACCCTGATGCTGGGAGGGTTGGGGGCAGGAGGAGAAGTGGACGGCAGAGGATGAGATGGTTGGATGACATCACTGACTCAGTGGATATGATTTTGGGTAAATTCCGGGAGTTAGTGATGGACAGGGAGGCCTGGTGTGCTGCAGTCCATGGGGTCGCAAAGAGTCGGACATGACTGAGCCACTGAACTGAACTGAACTGAAGAAACACAGGTTTGATGCCTGGGTCAGGAAGATCCCCTGGAGGAGGGCATGGCAACCCACTCCAGTATTCTTGCCTGGAGAATCTCATGGACAGAGGAGCCTGGCAGGCTACAGTCGATACGGTCACACAGAGTTGGACAGGACTGGAGTGACTGATTACGCATGCATACAGTTGAATCCCATTGTTGTGCAAGGGTCAGCTGTATATGTAGAACACTATGTTAATTGCTGTGTAGGACCATCAGCAGTAACATCATCATTGCTCAAAGAACATGGGTCTCCTGCCTTGCAGGCGGATTCTTTACCAACTGAGCTATAAGATTACCCCAGAATTAAGTCAAAATCGAAAAAAGTCTATAAATAAATTTACTATGGAAAAGAAACAGATCAGCTTTGTTTATTTTAAATCTGTTAAACTATTACTTACTATAAAATTTATGTTGTGTGGTCACATTTCTTACCTTTTGTAAATGAAGATAGTTTCTAGGGAGGACTCGTTTTATAATTGCATGATGATAGGATTTTTGCTGGAAAATCACACCTAACCTGTTTCAAATATACTTCAACAAAATTAAAAAGAGAAAATAATAACCTACTGATATTCATTCCATATTTATTCAGTTTGCGTCCTCTTAAGTCTTCTGCTTTTATTAGTCAGTGTTCCAACTCTACTTGCTTTTGTTTTTAAGAAACAAGAATTATCTCGGGTTCAGTCCCTTTTACTTATGTAAATTGTCTACCACATTAAAAAATATTTCCTAACACTTTATTCATGTACCATATTTTCTCTCTTTTTTTTTTGATGAGAAAAAAATCTATTCTTGGTTAAAATATATTGCTAATTTAAATAAATGAAAAAATAAAATAAAAAATTTTTAATATATTGCCAAAGTATTTCTTTTGTGTTTTTGTAGCTAACTGTAATAATTCTTTCGACTTCCTGCTGTTTCCTCATCAGTTATAGATAGACTTTGTAATCTCCAGCTAAGTTTAAAAAAAAAAAACAATAATGAGATTTTCTTGTCATATATTCTCCTTTTCCAGTGTTCTGCATCACATCCTCTGTTTATTTTCAGTTCTTGCAAAGACCTTGTTTTCTTAGAGCCTTTATCCTACTTCAGAAGTTTTCCCCTATTCATTAAAACATTTTTTCTGACCCCAAAAGATATTTTAATTGGGCCTAGGTTGACCATCTTAAGTTTTTTGCTGAATGTTCAGTTTGAATCTGTTCTGGGCTATTGCATGTTTGCAGTCTATGTTGTTGGCTTCTTTGTTAAACACTGTCACTCATTAATAAGTTGATACCTGATTTATGATGCTGAATTTTTTGTCTATCCAGGCATGTTCAAATATATTCTTATTTAGCTTATAAAGAATGGGCTTATTTTATTGTCATTTTATAGGGTTAATTCAAGTGCTTTGCCTAAAGTTTTGGTAGCATTTTTCTATTCAGAATAGCTTCCAGGTCCCGTTGGAAAGCTTTTGAGATCAGTCTTTCTTAGATTGCCCTAAAGATACATGAATAACTACTAACTTTGCCCAAACTTCACTTTTCTTCCTTTCCTTTTTATTTCTTCTCATTTTTCTTATCTGATTTGCTATCTGAATTCCTGCCATTTAATAAGTGCTTGGTAAATAATAGTTGAATTAAATAATATTAACTGCTTATTAGAAGAATGTAGTGTAGTCCTTTTACTTGATGACATGCCTAGCATATTTTCCCCCCACTTTGGATGCTAAAACATAACTTGATTTACAGAGAAGGAATTACTAAAGAATGAAACCCTCTCAGATTTAGCTTTCCTGGTAGGGCTTAATACATGGCATATTTAATCATCAGACTTGGATCTATCAACAAATTCTCCCCAGCCTGAGTGTTATTCTGTATCTGAACTTAGGCTCCATTTTCTATTAAAATATTTCATTAGTTATTTTTAATTCTTCCCTTACCTTTCTAAATATCTCAGTTGATTTTTTTAAAGTTATTATCATTGACCTGATAATTGTCATACAGCAGATGAGCTAGCTATTCTTAGGACCTATCTGTATTCATATAACACAAGCCATGTCCACTCTGCACAAATGTGTGCTTTCGAAAGCTGTCATTTGATTAAAGGCTTAAGAGATTATATTGGCTAAAGAGGTTGCTGGTCTGGCTTTTAGAAGGGCCCAATTACCAGTAGCTAAAGAAAATAAGCTTGATTTCAGTAAAGTATGCATTGATACTAGTATTTTTCTCTTCTAAATACCAAAGCTTAAAAGTTCCTATGTAACATGACCACTTAAATAGTACAGCGTAATAATTGTGTGGTGGTCTAATGATAGTAGTGATTTCATCCTATTAAAACATATAATTACAAATTATAGAGAACAAGTGTCCTTTTTCATTAGGATTTTATGTGATACCAGTGTGACAGTTCACTAATCTTTTTTGTTTATGATATATTACCTTTTCTGTCACTGGTAAGAACATATATTATGCATGGAAGAGCACAGTTATTGAAGAAGACAAAATTTGAGCCTTGTCTAAACCAAGCTTTTGACTTTATTTTCATCAGATACTTTTTTGGACAGGTCTTAGAGTATTTAAATGTTAAAATGCTTTTCACGTAAATGTTTTGCTTAGAAGTCTCATATTTCTCGGCTTAATATTTATGTGATCTATGTGTATCTTAACGAGGCTGAATATTAGTTATTAACAGGAAAATAAACAAATGGCATTTGAACAAGCATTTATTTAGGGCCTAATTACTGTGTGCCAGGTACGAATCTAGACCCTTAGGCTATAGGGAAAAAAGATGGATTTAACAGTTGTCCTATCTTCGAGGAGCTTACCGCCTGGCTACTATTTTTATAGACTTATAAATAAATTAATTAAAAGCCAGTGTAAATGCTAAAGAAGACATATGTGTTAAGTACTGTGGAGTCATGAAGAAGGTCATATCAGTCTTCCTGGACAGTCTTGGAAGGCTGCTCCAAGAAGGTAACTTTTGCATTAAGTCCTCATTGTGCATCTGGCAATATCTTGTAAAATTAGAAAGCACTTTAAGTACACTAATGTATTGTAATGAAAATAACATTCATTTAAAATGTTAAATATTCCCCCCTTAATCATTAAAACAATGCTTGAAATACCCTGGGACAAAATGAAACTTTGTACTTTCCGTAGTTGTTGGAAGGCACTTTTTCTTCAAGAAGGCATTTGAGTCAAGCACACTTATTATTAGTTCCCTTAAATTTCAGCTTTTAACTCTGCAACTTGCAGCGTTCAGTGGAAATGTTTAAATAGTTGAACTACCTTAATAATAATTACGTGAAGTTTTGCTATGTAACTCTTTACAAAAGTATTAAAAGTCCTTAAGTGCAATTTATAATCTTGTGCAAGTTCACATGTATAATTTACTTTAAAAAAAACACCTTATTTTTTTAATCTTTAAAAAATTATTACCTGATTGAGGCCATAGTAGAAATATGTGAATGTGTGTATATGCATAATTAATGCAGATCTTATTTACAAAGTCAAACCAAGATTTTTGTTGCTTGTTCTCTTTTGTAATCGTTTTTGCTTCATTATAGCTTGAGCATAAATACCTTATTTAAGCTTTTTTCTTTCCAAAAACTTATTTTTACAAATGTTAATTATAGTAGCAGTGACCATAAATGAAACTTGCATATATTACTCAAACTAGTTGCCAGAAAATTTTTGGTAACTTAAATCATAAAATGTATAAAGCAAGACTACAAACTTCTGAAATCTTTTATTGTTGTAAGTCATACCTTGCCTCCTTTTTAAGAACATATAGCAATACAGATTTATTTGAAGTCTGGGGCTTCTCTTTTTAAAAAATATTTATTATAGTATCATGATTTGTGATATACAACTGTTTTGCTAAATATTGTATTTTGTACCATTAGGATCTACAGCTAGAATATGGACAAGGACACCAAAGTAGTTACTTTTTAGGTGCAAACAAGTAAGTAAAATCCTTTTAAAATTATATTTAAATTTAAGAATAATTAAGTTGCCTTTAAATATGTTACTAATTTTATTTTAAATATTTACAGTAGTAAATCTACTAGTCTGGTAGATTATATTTTATAATAATATGTTTTAAACTTTTTTACTGCCTTGCCAATCATCTACTCAATAATTGTCATAATGGGGACAGTCACCTTAAATTTTTTATGTCAAGCTACTTTGTAGACCTTACCTGTTAGGGAAAGCTAAGTACATTCCAACTGAAGAGGAATATATGTTTCAGCAATGCATTTCCTTTATTTGCAGAGTTGACATGTTTATTCCTTATAAAACTTGTTCCGGTGCATCTTCCAATTGTGTTGGCCTGTGAAAACAGATGTAAATAGTCACACTGTTTAGAAATCTTTGTCTTAACTTTTAAAAAAATAAATAGTTAAAATGAGTCTCAAGTTTTTGAAGTTATCGTATTATTTTATGCAAGAAGTAAATCCAACAGTTAATTCAAGGTCAGCTCTATACCAGGCACTGTCTAGCTGATGCAGCCCAGCAGTGAAAAAGCACCTAGCTTACACGGTGTAACAGTTTAAGATGTTCATAGGCCTGAGTTAGCATGTTACCGGGCCAGGGTCTCTGCTGTTTCTCAGAGTCTCATTTCCTGAGTTCATGGATAAATTATCATTATAAAAGCTAATTTATAGGAAAATATTTAAACTGACAAAATCTCCCAGCTATGTGGCTATTATTTCAGTAGTCAGAACTACTTAAAATTTCAAAATATATTTTCAGTGAAATTAGAGGTTTGAGACATATTTTAAGTTAAGCAGGTGACTAAAAGACGAGCAACTCAGATTCTCAGATTTAGAGATAGTAATGCAAAATCTTGTCTCTTGTTTTTATAAACTCAATGTTTAATTTAAATATTCAACTCAGAGAAAGCTTTGAATGACAAGCTAGAGAAGTGCATTAGTTATGATTTAGCTCAAGGTTTTGTTTTTTTTTAACCTTATGTTTCCTAAAATTTAAAATAAGTCTAAAATTTCCCTGCTAAGAAAATGAAGTTTTGTCAAAATAGTAGCAACCTGTTATGTATAGTTTGTCCTAATTTATTGATGGGCAACAAAGGAAAGTCTGTCTCATAATGGGTTAGCAAAAAATTCTGATGTGTTTCTGTGTTATTTTTGTCTTAATTTCTCCCTAGTTTTAAGAATCTTGTTAGCAAATTTTGATGTATTTTTATAAGATTTGATAATTTGGAAAAATATTTCATTTGCCTTTTTTAGTTTATTTTAAATATATTTTTATATTATATACTTAGAAAAATACCCCCAAAATAGCCTGTCACTAAGTGCTTTTCCAAATTCCTTGGTTCTCATTTGTCTGATTGTGGTTTTTTTTTTTTTTTTGATTGTTAAACATTTTCATATTATATAGTTTACTTTGGTTAGGTAAAATGTTAATAATTTGCCCAACCTTCATTTTTTGACTAATTGGATCCCTGCTTAAGGAACTGTATTCTATATAACGAATCACTGGCAAGGTAGGTTGGCCAAAAGTTTGCACTTTGGCTGTGTTTCATGTACAGGTATATACATACATGTGACATGAGCATGGATGTAGCACTTCTCTTACTGTACCGATATGTCTGCTTTATTCTTGTGACCAAGCAGTGTTTTAAAACTCACAGGATCTTCTGCTTTCTCCATAGGTGATCAGGCAGACAGATTTCCATTTATGGGTTTCTACCTATTCCAGACCACATAGGAACTATCTAAGAGAGTTTTTTGGGTTTTTTTTTTTTTAAATAGAATACATACATATTTTGACTTAGTTGTTTTCTTTTGAATTCTGTTAATATTGGGGTCAACTTTTCTATTTAAAACCAATATGATATTATTTTTAAAAGAAAAATTATTTCTGATTTCTTTTAATATAGAGCCAATGTTCTAAAAATAAATTCTCTTCTAAAGACTTAAATAACAGTGAAAAGAAATTCCTGGCATAATTAAGTATAGCAGTGCACACGTTTGCGCTAAATCACTTCAGTCGTGTCTGACTCTGTGCAGCCCCATGGACTGCAGCCTGCCAGGCTCCTCCATCCATGGGATTCTCCTGGCAAGAGTACAGGAGTGGGTTGCCGTGCCCCTCCAGGGGATCTTCCTGACCCAGGGATCGAACCCACATCTCTTATGCCTCCTGCATTGGCAGGTGGGTTCTTTTACCACTAGCACCACCTTGGAGTGTAGCAGTAGTAAATGCCAGATCAGAGTCAGAACCGTCTCTTGCTATAACTGTGTAACTTGGAGAAATTTACTTCAGTTTTCTCTAATGAATGGGGATTATAATAGTACCTGCCTCACAGTATGAAATGGAATGATCATTGCAAAACATTTAACACCTTTTTAGTAAAAACACGTTTGTCGCCCTTACTTACTGTATTTACTCAGTAAATCTTGATTGTAAGAGTAAATGAGTATGAGTGAAAGAATAAAATTGCATTTTGGTTTTAAAGAAATGGGGAGGTTTTTTGCTTAGTTTTTTAATATAATCAGGGCAATACTTAACAGTTTTGAACCAGTTAGGCAGTTGAAACAGTATAGTAACAAGCAGCTGAGTCAGATGTGCTAAACACTTGGGTGGTGGCTTTTTATTTCTCTATCTGCTTCTTCGGTTCTTCAGTTAAATATATGATCTGTTTACAGATTGTACCATTTGTAAACTCTTCATCCAAATTTTTTAGTCATTTTAGATTGACTTTATTTAATTCAACATGTGAGGGCATTTTTTTTTTATTTGTTTTATTCATTACTGTTTCAAAATTCCATAAAAGGCATTTATTAGGCTAGTGAATAGTGACATTATTTATTATGTTGCATCTAGTCTTGTGATTAAATCAATATCATATTTTTCTCCAATGCATTCAAAGTACAATATTTAGTATAAATGAACCTTTATGTAAATTTAGCCATATTTCATTTTCTCTTTTATAAAGGCTGAAAAGCAAACCATGTTTTCTCCTTTTCATTAAGACTTCATGAAATTCTATAACTTTATTAACAAAATATCTTAACTCATCATAGGAGATTTACAAGTAATAAATAAAAAAATATATGAGCCCCTAGCCATAGAATGTCTGCTTTTTCATGTTCTCTTATTTTTACAGAACCTTTAATGCCAGGAAGATAATGTTTTAAAAAGTGAAATGCCATTTAAGTCCAATTAAATGTGGTAAACTGAAAATAAAAATACATTTTAAATTCCCCTTTTAATTATTTTCAAATGCTAATATTCTCTACTGGAAAAGAAATGGCTCAGAAAATATTGTCATATGCTTAAGAAAAAGTTTTTTTCATATCTTCTAAGATGGCTTCCCTTATAGTCTCAGGGTCCCTTTACAGTCTTAAAAATTATTAATGACCTCAATGAGCTTTTGTCTATATGGGTTACAAATATAAATATTTGTAGTACTGAAAGCTTCAAAATATTTTTTTATTTCAAATAGTAATATACTCATTCCATGTTATCATTAACAAAGTTTTTTGTGTATATTAAAAAATTCCTCATCTTTAAGAATGAAGTGAAATGCCAACTCTTAATGGTACCTTCTTTGTAACACCAGTTGGTTCTTCTCATGAGACTTAGAAGCAGCTTATATATGGCAGTATAATACAGCAAACATTTTGATGAGGGCCACAAACAGCATTGTTTTATGAAGAATAGCTGGTTTTTTCTGAAGCAGAATAATATTGGGGGAAAAGGTGGCATTGTTGTATGTTTTTTGCATAAATTCTTAATATTTGGCTTGATAGAACACAGCTGGATTCTCATGTCTGTTACTAATCTATTATGATATACATGTCATGAAAACATGAAAAGAGAAAGTGTTAGTCATTCAGTCGTGTCCAGCTCTTTGGGACCCCATGGACTGTAGTCTGCCAGGCATCTCTGTCCATGGAATTCTCCAGGCAAGAATACTGGAGTGGGTAGCCATGCCCTTCTCCAGAGGATCTTCCTGACCCCAGGATTGAAGCCAGGTCTCCCACATTTCTTTACCATCTGAGCCACCAGGGAAGCCCTTCACATCTCATAGTCTCCAGAAAACTCTCCTGAGTTTCATTCTCAGTGAAAGAATGAAAGTGAAAAAGAAAGAAAAAGAGTGAATGAGTATTTTTTTTAAGTGCTTTAGATTATGAAAATAGTTTTTACCTTTGCAAACCTCTTACAGGAGCCTAAAGGACCTCCAGGGTTGCCAGACCATACTTTGAGAATTGCTAATTTAGAGCAGTGTTACTTGGTTGATAATAATAATGTTAAAAACCCCGTTAACTGAATACTTACTGTACTCTAAATTACTGTTCAAAGCATTTTACCTATATTAATTCACTGTATTTTCAGATAGACATTTTGATCTAGATACTATTGTAATTCCCACTGTACAGATACGGAAACTGAAGCTTAGGGAAATCATAGTAACTGATTGAAGGCCACATCACTTAGAGTGGCAGAGACTACTTCACAGCTTGAAATCATTTTGCTATACTGCCTCCAGGTAGAAGCTCTGTCTGTTAGACCTAGCCCTTGAAGAGCTTTGTGAATAGATAATGTGTTTGGCCGAAGTCCCTCAATGTTTTTATGTGCAAAATAAGGTTTGCAATTAGTTTATGGTTTTCCTATGTCATTTACAACTCCAGAGTTAAAATCTTGTCATTTTAAAAGACTTAAATTGTTATTTAACTATCCTAATTAAAACACTTGATGGCTAAAATCTATTCTGTTCTTTATACCAGCTAACCATACCTTTAATTTTCTCTGGTTTTATGCTTTGATAATTCTGAGGGTAGTTTTTTCCACTTTATATAATAGGAAAGGGAAATGATTAGAAGGTACTACCTTACAATTTTTGAGGACAGTAAATTTTCTGCTGAATCACTTTCACCATAGTAATCTATCAGTAACCATATTTCTCTCATTCTCATTAGCTTTAAGAAGGCTCTTGAGGTTTTATGCTTAAAGAATATAATACTGGAGGTATGCTGCATGAACAGGCAGGGAAAAGAAGGGACCTTCAGGAATGCTGTGAATTCTCTCTTACATTCCTGAATACCAAAGTTTTATAAATTGCTCCTAATGATAAAATCCTCACAACTGGTCTGATACAGGCTTAGTCTCCCTAAAGTGTAAATGTGTTTGCCAGTACACCACTGGAGAACAGATCCTTCAGGTAAGTGAGTGTCTTCTGTGAAAGCAAAGTGCTGCTACATTCATGTATTCACATCACATGCATGCATGCTTTTGCAGAGATCCAACATGTTGAGTTTCATTTTGTAGGATTGCCTGAGAGCATGATGTTTATTTTAAAGTGTGTCACCTTTCTTAAGAAAAAGAAAATATAATTTCAGGTGTCAGGTAAAATAGTCCAGGTAAAAATGTAAATCCTGGAAACCCTTGAGTGTGACCCTGCAATTATTGTTTGTCAGTTTTATTGTGACATTTCATGGTGGGTTGTCCTTTGTTTGAATTAATATTTTTTCAATAAACACTAGGATTTATTTTGTTCATTGAAAATACATGTATAAAGACATGAGCAGCAGAAAATAGAGATACCTCATTAAATGATGTTTTATGGTATAGAGATGATTGTTGTAGCAAGTTTTTAGTGAGTAATAAAAGTGTTTATTTGAAAAATTTATATATAAGGTTAATGTGATAAAAAATTGTACTTGGTATCTCTCTGCTTTATTCACATTATTTTTAATTTTTACTTTTCTCCAAAGGAGTCTTCTGAAGTCTGTTGAAGAAGAATTACATCAGCGGTAACTTTAATTTTTAATTAAGTTTAAAATATTTTATGTTACAGATGAGTCAAGTCCATTTGCCCCCTTCTCCATCATATAGCCTAAGAGTGTTTTGTTGTTGTTTTAATATTCTGAATCCTGTAAAGATATAGAAATAAAATTCTGTCCTGTGTTAGCTCTTCTTGCATTTTCTAAAATTTCTTCTTAAGCCTTTTGGTAAAGTCCATTTAGTAACATTGGAATTAACCTTTTTTATCCTTAGAGGGCATGTGGCACATTTAGAAGATGATGAAGGAGATGATGATGAATCTAAAAAGTAAGTTCTGTTTCCATTTTTAGTAAAAGAAAGAGTGTCATTTGACCTGATTTAGTAAATCTGATGGCTTAATACTGAAGTAATTTTACTGTCTTTTATAATATAGTATCATGGGTTGTTTATAATACAGTATCCTAGGACTTCCTGGTGGCTCAGACGGTAAGGCGTCTGCCTACAATGCAGGAGACCCAGGTTCGATCCCTGGATTGGGAAGATCCTCTGGAGAAGGAAATGGCAGCCCACTCCAGTACTCTTGCCTAGAAAATCCCATAGACAGAGGAGCGTGGTAGGCTAGAGTCCATGGGGTCACAAAGAGTTGGACACGACTGAGCGACTTCATCATGGGTTGTACCAGAGTTTCTTTTGTTTTCTCTGTTCTAGTTGTATTAGTTCGGACATCCTTAACAAAATACCATAGACTGGTATTTATTTCTTATGGTTTTGGAGGCTGAGCTGCTGGTCAGTTTACTTCCTGGTGAGAGCTCTCCTTCAGGCTTGCAGACAGCTGCCTTCTCAGTCAGTATATCCTTAGACTTCCCTCAGTGTGTGCGTGCAGACAGAGACGTCTCTCTTCCTCTTTTTATAAGGCCACCAATCCTGTTGGATTAGGGCCTCATTCTTATGACCTCAGTTAAATGAGCTTAATTAAAAAGCACTCCCAAAAGCACTGTCTCCAAATATAACCAGTCATGTTGGAGTTAGGAGTTTAACATATAAATTTTGAGGAGACACAGTTCAGTCCAAAAGTTTTACTAACTCATTCCAGCATCAAGTCTAAAGTCCAAAGACTCATCTAAATATCATCTAAGTCAATCTGATATAGATCTCATGATCCCTAGATCACCTTCAGGATTTATTCTTTCCTTCTTTTGAAGAAGCATACATGTTTGGAAAGCTCTGTCATCCTGTCCGCAGCCTCCCTTCATTTGTCTTGTCCATCTTCCATTCAAGCTCCAGTGTTTGTTCTGGTACAATCCCATGAATTCTCTGATTGATAGTTCAGGCGTACCGGTGGTGTTCTCTCCAGTACTTGCTTTCTGATGCCATCCATTTTGGAGCTAATACAGATAGGCTGAGAATTTTTCAAATTTCAAGTTCTGGCTCCTTTTTGCTTAATAATTCCTTCTTCAGTTCATCTCTCTTCTCTCATTTCACTGTAAGCAATCAGAAAGAAGCAAGCCACTCCTTCAGCAGTTTGCTTCGAAATCTCCTCAGCTAACTTATCCAGTTTCATCCCTTGCAGATTTTCCTTTCACAGAACACTAGAACAACACAATTCAGCCAAGTTCTCTGCCACTTTTTTTGAAGGATTACCTTTCCTCCATTTCCCAGTAACTGCATTTCCATCTTGAAACCTCACCAGGAATAGCCTTTAATGTTCACATTTCTACCAACATTCTGTTAATGACTATTTGTGTATTCTCTAAGACGGACGCTTCCTCACCAGCTCTCCTGTTTTCTCACTGACCTCTCACTCTTAGCATCCATATTTAACTCTTACAGTCTTTGCTTATTATTCAGTCTCAAAACTGTTTTCACATTTCTAGGTGTTTGTTACAGTAGCACCCCACTTCTTGGTACCAAAATATGTTTTAGCTCAGGCTGCCATAACGAAATATCATAGACTGAGTGGCTTGAGCAACAGAGACTGGTCACAGTTCTGGAGTCTGGATGTTCAAGATAAGGTGCCTGCAGATTCAGTTCCCAGTGAAGGCCCTCTTCTTGGCTCGTAGACAGTGGCCTTCTTGCTTTGTCCTCACACAGCCTTTTCTCATCTGTGCACACACACACAGAGAAGGAGATCTCTTCCTCATCTTACAAAGCCACCAATCCTATTGGATCAGCTTCCTACCCATATGACCTCGTTTAACCTCAGTTACCTCCTAGAAAGCCCTGTGTCCAAACACAAGCACATTGGGGGTTAGAGTTTCAACCTACGAATTTTCAGTGGACACAGTTCAGTCCATAGCAGGAGTTGATTTAAAAAAAAATAATAACTTTGAAAAATGTTTACAGAGACAGTAGACATATCCTGTGGTTTAATATTATAAATTAGTAATTGGTAGCTGCTAGAATTATTACTGTAACTACAAAGAGTCTTACTATATGGTTGATTAAATTTCATCTGATGTGTTTCAAGTAAGCAAATCCTTTGGATACAATTTTTTTTTTTATTTTTTACAATTGTATTTTTAAGGGGAGAATATTTTCCCTTCTGTATTTATTGATGTTAGTTCTTTGAGAGAGGAGAGGGATTTTGTTTTTGTTTTTTTAAATAAGGATGCAGTTTCCTGGCAGAGTGACGAAAACACCTGAGAAGCCATTGGAACGTTGATTTTCTTTCCTCCCTCACCACTATGTGACCTTGGGCTGGGTCACTTAAACCTCTCTGGGCCTCAGTCTCCTCAGCTGAGAATTTATGCTCAATAATCTTTTAATTTTAGTTTAGTCCTGAGTTATAATGAATCTCAGTTCCAATCAAGTAAATTCTGCCATTAGTGTCATAGAGCATGTAAATGAAAAAAGCATGAAGCTTTTGATGAGCTTCATCAGAGATATTTCCTATCTAATAGTAGTAAAAATGAAGCTTATATCGTGATATATTTTTATATCATTTTGCTGTCTTTCCTTAAACCAATTGTTGCTTTTGTTTTTATATTAATTACCTTTAAATTGATGTAAATTGGAATTATAGCTATCTTTTCCAGTTTTAATTACTAAATATTACTTGGAAACAAGAAAGCATATAAACTCAGTTACTTCTCAGTAGTACTTCATTCAGCGTAACATGATTATTTCACAGAATATTTCGGAAAACACTCATCTTAGAAAAAGAAACCTGTATATACAAATCATCTATATTTTTGAAAAATGAATCATATTTTAATAATGATTTATTTGTAAAATGAAGAGTTCTGATTCTAAGTGTTTATGTTTTTATAGTTCAACCATGAAAGCCAAAGTTCCACCTCCCTTGCCACCAAAGGTAAGAAGATTTGTATTTCACTGTGAATCGTGTTTGTGTATGTTATTGTTCTGCCACTTTAAAACTGTATTAGTACTTACTCTGTAGCTTATTTTCACTTAGGATTCACAAAGAAAAATCTTGAAGTTACTAATCATGATATAAGTAGATGATTGTAATTGTTTTTGTCCTTTTTTTTCCAATTTTCAAATTTATTATTTGATGTTAATTCTAAATAATAAGTTCTAGAAATTCATAAATAAAAATGATTATTTCACTTGGGTTAAAAACTCATATATTTAATAAGATTTTCTCTCCTCTAAATCTATAATCTACAGGTAACTGATTTCCTGAGAATGGGTGAAAAAAGATAGTTACCATTACAGATATTTAATTTTCAGAAGATACTTTTAAATAAAAAATACAATATAGGACAATAATTTAAAAATAAAACTTTAGATGAATGGTTAAGGAAGCTGTTGTACATATACACCATGGAATATTACTCAGCCATTAAAAAGAATTCATTTGAATCAGTTCTAATGAGATGGATGAAACTGGAGCCCATTATACAGAGTGAAGTAAGCCAGAAAGATAAAGAACATTACAGCATACTAACACATATATATGGAATTTAGAAAGATGGTAATGATAACCCTATATGCAAAACAGAAAAAGAGACACAGATGTACAGAACAGACTTTTGGACTCTGTGGGAGAAGGCGAGGGTGGGATGTTTCGAAAGAACAGCATGTATATTATCTATAGTGAAACAGATCACCAGCCCAGGTGGGATGCATGAGACAAGTGCTTGGGCCTGGTGCACTGGGAAGACCCAGAGGAATTGGGTGGAGAGGGAGGTGGGAGGGGGGATCGGGATGGGGAATACATGTAACTCCATGGCTGATTCATGTCAGTGTATGACAAAACCAACTGAAATGTTGTGAAGTAATTAGCCTCCAACTAATAAAAGTAAATGAAAAAAAAATTTTTAGCAACAAAAGCTTTTTGTCAAACAAAACAAAGCATCATTAGAGAATTCCCTGGTGATTCTATGGTTAGGACTTGGCACATTCCTTGCAAAGGCCCAAGTTCAATCCCTGGCGAGGGAACTGAGATCCCACAAGCTGTGTGACATGACCAAAAATAAAAGGAATCATAAATAATAAAATAATCCCAACTGATGGGATATTTTATAAGTAAAATAAGTTGATAGATATGGTAATTAAATTTATAAGTTCATATGCATAGCAAATTTTAATTATAAAATGAACTGTTTATAAAATGAGTTGTTATTAGGTTTGAAATCAGGAGTTATAAATGAGGACTGGAGTTCAACCAGTCTAGATATCCAGTGTACTACTACTATATTTTGTTTTCATTTTATACTTTTAAAAAAATCATGATCCACACACATAAGTAATATTGTTCTTTTTTGTTTAGTTTTACATTAGAAATATAGAGCTCTGAATTTCAAAGAGATAAATATGGCTCAGTCTCCCTAATAAGGGATGCATTATAAAAATTTATAAATTCTGTAAACCTTTGGCTGACTGAAGGTTTTTCTGTTGTCTACACAGAAAGTCTCTCAGGTATCCTGTATTGCTGAGTTTGTGTTCTCTGATTTAATACAATTTTAATCAGCATCTTCTCCTGTTGCATATCAGGAAGATTAAGCATTAACATTAAAGACTTTGAGTCATCTGAAAGAGACAGTTTAGAGATTAGCCTTGAAAGGAATTGAACTTTAATTAGCCTGAATGTTTAAAATAAAAAGAGACTCATTTAAATTGGAGACCATAAAGACCAGAATATTTTTATTTGGCAAATTTAAGTGGGTAGGCTTGTGAGGAATTAATAAAGAGTAGAACAAGGTCTTTTTTCTTGAGAAAACATTTTTGTGTACATTTTTAAGATATAAAGATTATCTGAATCAGATAGTTGAATATCCTTGAAACTCAACTATTAAACACAGTTTGAAAGCCTCTGATATATAGTAATATTTACTTCAGGGAAGATACTTAATATTTTTCATGATTAATGAAACATGAGTGATTTCATGTTTAGTCATTGGTCTCCTTTTCTGTATTGTTTCAGCCTAAGTCCATATTCATACCACAAGAAACTCATTCTACTGAGGATGATAATCAAGGAACAATCAAGAGGTGTCCCACATCAGAGAGCCCAGCAAAGCCATCGCAAGTACCACCGAGGCCACCACCTCCCAGGTTACCGCCTCAGAAGCCTGTGGCTTTAGGTAATGACGAAGAGGAGGTGAAATAAGAGTGTTGCCAGGTTTTCATAATGCGTGGAGAAAAGTAGAAGGACTCCTTCTTTTAAGAGATGATTTGACATTCCTTTGAGGAGAAGAGAAGGAAGCAGTGGCTATAGAGATGAAGTCTGCTTTTTGCCTCATAGTTTGAAGTGTTTTTATGACAGGATTACCTATGACCCAGGCTGATATTTTGCCCCTTGCTTCTCATTTCATGTCTAGCTTTCCCTCTTTTAGATAATTATTTGTGCCCAATTTGTCATTTATCTGTAGAGTGAGGCAACAAAAGAAATTAAACTCTGAACAAACAAGGAAAATGTGTTTTGGTCCTAGGCTACTTCTTGAGAAAAAGAAGAGGACGCCTTGTCTAACTCTTGTTTTATTTCGATTAATCATTTTAGAAAAACGATTGTCGGTATTTGCTTCCAAATTAATCCTCAAAGGTGCTGTTTTAATACTGTGAAGTGTCTTATGTTTATGCAAAAGAAGCAATTAAAAAATAGAGTAGTAATGTTCCTTGGATAACAAACTATAAATTGCTCCTTTCCTGAAAGTAGTTATGTATTCAGTACTTTTTTCTTTTTAGCACAAATATATGTACTTAGATACAACCTGAATTTTAATTTGCCTATATGAAAGAAATAGAGATAAAACTAGAACATATATATGATTGTTATACTACTAAATATTCTGACTGGATAATCCCAAATGAAGGCTGAAACTGTCTCAGAGATAATGTATTTTTTTCCTACTTGATAATTTTCTGAATGAAAATTTTCATGAAAATTAATCCTTTTTTTAAATATATTTAAACATATCTTATTGAAGGAAATGGAGTGAGCTCCTTCCAGCTAAATGGTGAACGAGATGGTTCATTATATCAACAACAGAATGAATATAGAGGCACTAACCTTTCAAGGAAAGAAAAGAAAGATGTACCAGTAGGTATTTATGTTCATAAGCTCTACTTGTATTTGTTTCCTTTTTGACTATTAAATTAGTTTTGCAGTTTTAATTAATGAAACAATAGCAATTATATATTTTATAATTAGTTATTTATATTTTAGTATGTTAATAGTAGGTTGTTTAAATCTTGAAAAAAATTACTTTGCTGTGGTAAACACGAATGAAAGCTTTCTACTCTTCAAATTATTTAGGCCAATTGGTTATATTGCATATTATAAAATGTGGCCTTCTAACATACTGGTAAACCTTTAATATTTTTGTGATTGTTGAGAAATATTATTCTCATTAATGAGAATGATTCTTACATGTTTCTTTTATGGTCTCAAGAACTTATGGAAGGAAAGCCATACCTTCTACCTCAGGACAAATTTCTGTCACATAATTTGTGATGTTACTACTGTTACCAAAGAAAATAGCTAACAAGGAAGAAAAATAAGGTTATTTCTAGTAGATATAAGATACCACTTCAGGAAAGATGCAATTAGCCTTAGCAACTGTTCCTATTAGAAAAATTTGATAAAACACTATGCCATAACTACTAGAACATCAATAGAATTTATCAGGGAGATTAAAAATTTGTGAAGCATTTACACTTAATTATCAGAAGACATTCTATGATGTCCATCATCATAGAACTTAACCAAAAAATCCTTAAAATTCCCAATTCAGTGGATGTCAACAAGATCATAAGTCAGTATTTTGGGGGAATTTTTTGTGTATACTAATTTTTGTTACTCTTCTAGAAATTCATAGACCATTTAATATGTTTATGTGCGTATAGCTGTAATAACTTTGTACGCTAAACACATTGCTAGAGGGTTTTGTAATGTATCTGTTATTTTATAAGATTGCACTATAGAATGTGACATACCATTTTTATGATTCAGTTAAAGCATTTGACTGGGGTTATGCATTCTAATTTCTAAAACTTAGACATTTTTAACAAAAGTGAAATGTCTTTTAGAAATCATAGGGTTTATGTAGTCTCTCCAACTGAGTAGTGCCTTTTTTATCAGCTTAAATTTTAGTAATTCTTCTAATGTAGTCGTTTAAAAATTCACTTAATGACTGTAACAGTATAATAACCTTTGAGAAATGAGTACTTTTTAAAATTTATGTATTTTAAATTCACTTTTTCTATTACCTTATTAGAATATGGAACTAGTAGTTAACCTAACAGTCTCAATAATTCTGAAATAAATATGTCATGACTGTATCATAGGATAAAAAGTATCCATGGTATATTGAAATGTGATTACAGTTTATGCAGCTTCTTGAAATTATTTACAGCCTCTTGAAATTATTTACAGCCAATTCTGTCAGTACTTAAATTAAATCCTACAGTTACAACTTTCAGAGCTCCCTAATTAAAAATGTTTTGCTAAAATAGATGATATATGATAATTTAGGGACATCTGTATAAAATTATGTACATAAATTATTTGCAGAATGAAAAAAAATTATCAGAAATTGATGGCAGTATGTACATCCTCATAAACATATCTCCAAAGTAAAATTTCGTAGTCTTAATTTTAGAAATGTCTAAAAGTTACTCATATAAATAGTACTATACACAATATTTCATTTGTATCATGTATATGAAATCAGTTAGCAGTAGCTTTAAAATTTTTATCTCATTTAAATAATTCTGATTTATATTAAACTGAGAAAAATTTATAATGTCATTCCTTAAAATGCTGTTATTAAGATTAAAAGAAACTAGACTATCAGAAAGCTTATGTTTAAATTATAATCTCTCCCAAGAAGATTCTTTCTCCAAGGATAAATCATAAAATTGAAAATAACCTATTCTCCTGAGGTAAATCATATACCCCAGGAATGTAGCCCCTTGGAAAAATATCTGGAACTCTTGAGGATGTTGTCATAGATGAATGATGTGATTGTTTTTGCTCTCCTTACATTATCATTATACTCTGACCAATGATTCATGCATTTGAGTCCATCAGAGTTTAAAACTTCAATGGACAAAGCACTTGGTAAATGAGGTTAACAATCTACAGACTAGGAGAAAACATTTGTAATATATAGTAGATAAAGTATTTAAGTCTCATTTATATAAAGAACTCCAAAAAATAAATAACTCAGTTTTTTTTTTTTTAAAGCAAGGCAGGGAGGGGAGAATTCACAGAAGAGGAAATACAGTTAGCCAATAAACATTTCTTTAAAAAGGTTCTCAACCTTCCTAGCTGTCAGTGGCATGCAAGTTAATGAGAAACAAAGGGGAAAACTTTTTTTACTCCTGTAAAAACTGTTATAAATTTGATAACATTGTCTGTGAGACTGTGAAGAACGAAGACTTATACATTGCTGATGGGAGTGATACAAAATGGGCACTTGGAAAGGCAGTTTAGCAGTCAGTATCCACTAAAATGCAAAAGCTACAGACCCCATGTTCCAGTATTTTCACTTCTCACAGCATATTCTTTAAAAAAACCATTTCCACCTTGTGTAGTAAACTATATGCAAGGGTGATGATTTCCACATTATTGATGTAGTAAAAAATGGAAAATAATCTAAATATCCAATAATAGGGAATAGCTAAAGTTTGTTGTATTCACACTGTGCTGCAGTTAAAGCCAATGGCAAACAGGTCTGGAAGGATACACAGATATGTGAGTATTTTTTAATGTAATATAATTGCCTAGAGAAAGATTTGGAAGGGTACATGATAAACCATTTGGGGAGGGCAGGTTCTAGGAATAAGTGGACTGTGAAAGGATTATAGAGATCTTCAGTATTATCTATAATGTTTTGTTTGAGAAGAAATGTATTCGTTTATTTTATTGGGACACATGACTTTGAAATAACAGTGTTGATAAACTAAACAAGAAGTATAATCATGCATGTGTTCTTTTTCTAGAAGCCTATTAGTAATGGCCTACCCCCAACACCTAAAGTGCATGTAAGTATAAATATCAAATAGGCTAAGTTTTCAAACTGAATACAATAACATATAATTTCTTGAGTATGTGCCTTTGGTTGGATTTTTTTGCCTGTTTGAAAGAACCCCCGTTATAGTGAAAAAATATTTAAAATTGCTAGTTAAAAAAATAAATAAATAAAATTGCTAGTTTAAATACTAATTGATTATATTTGAAAAGTATAGCTTTTCAAAAGAATTATGATACATTATACATTTTATAGCTTCTTTATTTGAAAATTACTAATGTTTTTGCACATATTTTTGAAAGAATGTGAAAAATGCCATTATCAAAAACAATTTTAGAACTAGGAGGAGCATTAAAGGAGCATCTGGCCCTAATTTTATTTTGTCCATGGGTAAAATGGAGATCCTTTGGATCCAGTTTGGGTCCAGAATCCTGTTTGCTGAAAAACATGGAGAACTCATGGCTCCTGACTCCTTTTCTCTCTTCAGTCCCCAAGTCTGGGGAAGGAGCGTTCAGCTCCTTTGGGAGCTGACCCAATGGGAACATGGGGTCACAGAGTTGGACACGACTGAGTGACTATCACTCACTCGCTCAAAACTGAGACCCAAAGATATTAGTCACCAAGATCACAAACCGCCGCCCAGCTCTAACCAGAACTAAAACTAGACCTTAGATGTCCTATATTATAGTCCTTATCATTTTTTATATCTGTATATATACACCATGCTGTCTTTTTTAGGATTAAAATTATGTTGTGCTCAGTCATGTCGGAATCTTTGCAACCCCATGGACTGTAGCCCTCCTCTGTCCATGGAATTCTCCAGGCAAGAATACTGGAGTGGGTTACCATTTCCTTCTCCAGGGGATTTTCCCAACCCAGGGATCAAACCCATGGCTTCTGCATTGGCAGGTGGAGTCTTTATCACTGAGCCACCAGGGAAGCCCTTAAAATTATATTAACTCAGTTTAATTTTAGTTAAATATGGATAGAACTACATTTTGCTGGTCTCAATCTATAGCCTGAAACTTCATATAACACTAGTTTAGACAGTGTCCCTAGATTTTCTAGTTTGTAACCTCTCAAGTCTACTTTTTAGCCCTTTTACCTTTTAACTCTACTATTAGTATAAAAATCTGAGTAATTATGCCTCATCTTACAAAAAGAAGTTCTGAGTGTAGAGGGTCCCAGGTCTGGGAGAGCCACATGTACGATAGGGGTGAGATCTATTGTTGGGCCCCAGGATGAACCTTCTTGATCAGGCGTGCAGTTGACAGGGAAGAGCTGGTAACTGTGGACCAACTATACAGGTTAGGTTTAGGTTGAAACTGGTTTGATTGTTTTGTACCTCATTCTGTCATTTAGATTTTTAGGAGTTTAGCAGTACCTTAACATAGGAATTTGATGTACCTATCTTAAAGGATAATTATCAGGATTAATTAAACGATAGAATTTCTGCCCTATACCATAGAAACATTTCTTATTGGCCTTCTGCCACGCACTGGTATTGCCAGTCTGTTGTTCTTTTGGAGAACTAAAATCTTAAAAATACTGGTTGCTAGGTTTCTATGAATAAAAAGGAAATTTTAATATCAAATATTTTGATTATTTTGTGTTAATATTTTTAATCCACTGTAGTCAACAATAATCACTGTATTGTCTCTGTGTTTGTGAAGAAACTATTCCTGCTGTAAAATGACGCACAGTAGAATTCCCTGGTGGTCCAGTGTAGGACAAGGTGCTTTCACTGCTGTGGGCCTAGGTTTGATCCCTTGCTCACAAGCCCTATGGCACAGCCAGAAGAAAAAAGAAATGAGCCACAGTGCTGTTCTTCTAATCAAATGCTTCTGTATCCTTTTTCCCCTCCAAGTTATTTATTCTAACCAGAACAGTCATTTCAAAATTAACATCTTACTCTTTGAAGATCAAAAAACATTCAAATGAGTGATATTATGTTTCATTATAAGGTATTTATTATCTGAAAAGTTTGTAAATGAGCTTGATAAATAAATATTAACATCAAAGAATAAAGCTTTTGGTTGACTTCTTCCAGGGAGAATAATCAGATTGCTCAATTTTTTTTTGTAAAGTACATCTATCTCTCTGTTTTGAGATTAAAGTACATATATGAGTTTCAAATCAACTGTACCTCTTCCACTTTGTAATATGAAATTCAGTGATTAATACTATTTTTAGGCTCATGAAACCAAGTAAGAAAATTTTCACCTTTGTAGAGATTATGGGTTTCCTTATCAGAGAATATTGTATTAGTCTTAATGTGGGATGTGTAAGGAATACTTCTATAAGCAAATTATTGTGCAGAATTAATTGCTGTTACTGCTTTGTTTATTTGAGAAGATAGGAAGAATAAAGTGACTTTTAAGTAAAATCTTATCTAACAGTCCTTGTGCCTGGAACCTCCTTAATATCACTGTAAGGCAAATGACTAGGACTTGATAGATTCATTTAGTTATTTTTTGTTTTTCCAGATGGGTGCCTGTTTTTCAAAGGTTTTTAATGGATGTCCCTTGAAAATTCACTGTGCAACATCATGGATAAATCCAGACACAAGAGGTAGTACTATATGTTTTTATCTATTTTTATCTTTCTGATTGCTTAGTGTTTTCATGAGGCTAGAACAGCACTCAGTTTTAATCACTTTATGCATATCTTTCTAAAATATAATTTTAAAAAATTCAAGGTAAATCCGTTTCTCTGTGTTATTAGCAGTGTTTGAGGTGACACGTGATATTAAAATTTTACTGTATAGTCACCATATCAACATATTGAAACCGTATGCTCTGTGCCATCTATCTGTATAAAGATGTTCATAGATACACATGTACACACATATGCACATGCTTGCTGTTTCTTACACACACACACACACACAGATTTACTAAATCTTTTAAATTGCCAAGGTGTAGGTACTTTTATTTCATAGGTAAAGAAAACAGCACTCAGAGAGGCTCATTGATTCACAGCTAGTCGGTGGTAGAGCTGCAGTTTGAACCCAGTTCAGTCCTGTCTGAGCACAAAGTTTATGCCTTTAATCTCTCAGTACTAACCCTAAATACTGGGCAGTTGAGGAATGCTCTTGACATTCTAAGTTGTTCTTAGGATGCTTCAGCTTAGTCTGGAGAAGTTCTTCACCTACTTTTTGATATTATGATAAAATGTGATTGAACAGGACCGTGAGTAACATCTTCTAGAAGATACTCAACACCCTAGCAGGTATCCAAGTTTAGTTAATTTTTTAAAGAGACAGTAGTCAGATCTTGGTTTTTTGATGCTATGCTTATAACAGACCATCTGCAAAAATCATTTGAGTTTTCATCAACTGTTCCTGGTTTACATTTTATGTGTCATTTACACATGATCCTCTCCAAGAGGGAATTTAGAAAAGGAGTTGCAGATTCTCTGTCAGTCCTGAGAACCCTCCAATGAATGAGGAGTCCTAGCATGCTGTTCTTCAGAACCTGTTTTCCTAAAAGTTTTCTTCACTGCTTTGAGGCTTATATTTGCATATAAATCAATTCTTTGAGCTAGAGTCTCTAGCTACTTACTTGCATTAAAATAAGAAACACTGCTTTATAGACAATAGCAATTCTTTTTTCATATGTTAATGTATATATGTATATATACACTAAATGTTAGATTATATAAATCTTTTGTAAAAGAATTTTATACATCAAAATCAGTGGATTATTTTTGTCATTTCAGATCAGTACTTGATATTTGGTGCCGAAGAGGGGATTTATACCTTGAATCTCAATGAACTTCATGAAACATCAATGGAACAGGTATGTTATTCTGTGTTTCTCCCTTTTTAAAAAAAAAAAATTCTTAATTTATTATACATAGACACTAAATAAGGAATAAGTTTCAGTGCTGTGATTTGCTGTCTCTTTTGTTTAGAAGACCTTCCTAGAGCATGTCCTATTTACTCCGTGCTGGAGACATACTTAAATTTTCCAGTTTATTGTGATCCACACGGTGGTTACTCACAGGAGTAGTGCTCACTTTCAAGTGGCTCATGATCTAACAGAGGAAGAAGGCCTGTAAACCAGTAACTGCAACATATTGTACTTCCAGTTAGGTGTCACACTGGGAGTGAGTACAAAGTGTAACCCCCGAGGAGGTTATCACTGGCACCACGGATGGAGAGAGGAGGAGAGACATTTAAGATGGACCATAAATGATGATGAACAGAAGGTTGACAGACAAGAGAAACGGAAACTGCATGGCTCAAATAGGGAGCTATGAGTGGTCAGTACAGTTGGAGGACAGAATGAGTATAGAATAATGGCAATAAATGAAGGTGGCTGAGTAAGCAGGTGCCACACCCCAGGGCTTTGTGTACCATGCTCATGGCCAGTAAGGAATTCTGTGTGTATGTCCTTTATGATTTACAGGTTTTCAGCATTTTCTCTCAGCTTTTTTTCCTCCATACCTAGTGTTTCCATACTCTTATGTTTTACAACAGCATGATCTTTTTTCCTCTCTTCTGCTCCAGAAGCCAGGCATGTCCATACACCAAGATAAGACCATTTTTTGGAAGTACACGAGAGAGTTTTAATTATTTAAAACTCAAGAACCAAAATAAAGGAATAGACATTGTTTGAAAATGCCCTTTTCCTTGTGTAGTTTGAGATTACATAGTCTGTACCATAAGGAGAATAGAGTTAATCATATAATGTAGGAACTTAGATAATGAAATTACATTAATTTATTTTTCTTCCATATAAATATGTATATGTAGCATCTTGTTTTAAATATCTTATAAAATGAGTTTCTATTAAAAATAAATTTCTTTTTAAAAACTGGCCTAAAATAAATAAATAAATAAATAAATAAAAACTGGCCTAATGATATGACAGCTACATGGTTAATATGTGAATATTTACACTGCTGTTATCTATTATCCTGTGTAAACTTTGTGCTTTTTTTTTATCAGCTATTTCCCCGAAGGTGTACATGGTTGTATGTAATGAACAATTGCTTACTGTCAATATCTGGTAAGTTTTATTCGTTTTTAAAAACCTTACAGCTATTGTTCCTATTTATGTTATCAGCTATTGTGACACATTTATTTTTCTCTACAGGTAAAGCTTCTCAGCTTTATTCTCATAATTTGCCAGGGCTTTTTGATTATGCAAGACAAATGCAAAAGTTACCTGTTTCTATTCCAGCACACAAACTTCCTGACAGAATACTGCCAAGGTAACTGTACATTTAATTATGTTTTCATCCTTAGAGATAATATGTGAATTCATTCTAAAAAAAAAATATACTACAGAAATTGAAAAAAGCTCTCAGCTTGGGTTTGTAGAAATTGTGTGTAATGAAAAAACGGTAAAAAGTAACATATTTTCACCAGTGTCTATCATATTCTAAAATTTTCTACTTTATACTTTTCCACTTATATCAAACATTTTCTTTCTGAACTGTTAGTTTTTCTACAACATTAAAACTAATTTTTTTTCCTCTAGTTTGCTTGTAATTTTATATCACATATAGTGCTTTTGACTTATTTGTGTCAATTTGAATAAATTGAATTTTTTTCAAAGTAGTTTCTAAACTTAGAAAATTTAAGTGACTTATTAATTGAAGATTTTTATAGGAAGATACTTACTACTTAGAAATTAGGTGTTTTGTTTTTCTGCTTACAGGGATTTTTAATTATGTTTGCTCTTCTGTTTAGTCATTATTATTATTTTGGTTATTATACTGGACCTTATTTGTTGAGTAAAAGTCTTCTGAGTCTGATATAAATTGTACTCTACAATACTTTTGTAATGTAAAATTCTTCCTTTACAGTATTAGTTGTAAAGCAACTAATATAGAACCTTAACTTTTAAGTACCTTAAAAATTGTCAATTGCTGAGTTTACAGTATAGTTAAGATTTACCATTTTGTGCACAAAAGCTTTTTAAAAATTAACTTTTCAATGAAAATCATTTTAAAATACACTGCAAGCTTTTCTGTCTATAAGATTACGCTGAGTTTAACTGGATCTTTTCATGATGAATTAGTTATGATTTTGAACTTGATTTATTATGTTTGTACTGTGGTATCTACAGTTGGACTTAAGGATATCAGGGAGTTGCTTTCTTCCTATATAGTTTATGTGCCCCATTCCTTCTCCCAGCTGCCACTTTCTGCTGTTGTTTTTCTGCCTACTTAGAGCATGACTCCATTCTGCTTTCTGACTTGATAAATCTTAAATTCCTGTGGGCATGGAAACTGACCACCAAGCTTTAAAATTGTATAGAGCTCCCGAACAATGGAAGGCATATAAACTTTGATGTATTAACTTTTTGATACCATTTTTATCAGAACAGAGTCCTATTCTTTTCCCAGTTTGTGGCTCGCCTTTTTACTTTCTCAGCTCTGTCTTTTGGTAAACTAAAGTTAATAATTTACTAAATACATTCAACGAATTAAATGCCACTCATAGTTTGAGGTGCTAGGGATACATCAGTGAAAAAAAAAAATCAATCTAAGTTTATCATTGTTTTCCTGTATAATCTCTTTTTGCATTTTTTAAAGTAATCCTTTTGTCATATTCTTCAAAAATTATATATTTTATAGTTTCATTTTTCACATTTAAATTCTTTATCCATTTGGAATTGATTGGAGGGGGGTTGAGAAAGGTATCCAGTTTATTCTTATTTTTAATAGATGACCCATTATGTCCAGACCAGTTTTTAAACAACTCATCTTTTCTCCACTGTTCTATAACAGTAGTATTTTCATATACTAACTTCACCTACATATATTATATATTCATTTCCATTTCCATTTAGGAAATTTGCTGTATCAGCAAAAATCCCTGAAACCAAGTGGTGTCAGAAGTGTTGTGTTGGTAAGTAACCCATGCAAAATCACGCAGCTCTCCTGCTTTGCAGAGTGGATAAGAAGAAGCTGTGAGGCTCATTTGTCAATCTAGTGTAAAACCGTAGTACTCCAAGACATCCTGCCAGTAATAGTTTACTTTTCTCCCTTAAGTAAAATAAATGTATTGGCCATTCTATTTCCCTGTAAACTAAACCTAATGTAGAACTTTGCACACATAGTTGTTTCGCAAATAATTTATTGACTAAATAAATGGAGAGTGACTTTATTACAGCACTTTACCATACCCTGTTCTCTGAGGAGCCTGTTACTAATCATTCACCATTCTGCTTAGTAATGGCTTCTGAGACTGCATTTGTTCACTCAGCATACTTGTTATTTACTCTCATACCTTTAATACATGAAACTTTATGCTTGTGATGTGCAAGTCATAGTCTCCTTGTTCACATACCACAAGCCTAAAGTCCTCCTCAACCCCCATAACAATTAGCTGGTTGATTTGAAAAGCAAAAAATTGTTTTCTTTCCTCCCTTAAAAACCTCTGAGGCAATTCAGTTCTTTTATTTGTAAACCTGCATCTTGATTAATGTCTCCATCTAATGCAGACCAAAGCAGTACTGCCTCTGAACAGTACTACCAAGAGCACCCTGAATCACCTGCCCCTAAATGTGCTCCAGCTATCCGTGTGGGAACGTTTCCCCAAATCTACTTTAAACCTTTCTTCAGGATCTTGCTGTCTCAGCTGATCTCTCCACTACCATAAGACCTAAAGTTCTTCCCAACCCCTGGCCCCATAACAACCAGCAGTTTTTGAGCATACAAATAAAAATCCTAGAAGTGATGAGAGTTTTGCACTCCTATCTGAAAAAGTATTTCTTTTTCACTCTGCAGACTAATTAACAAATTGAACTGGCCTCCGCCTTTTGTTTGTTTTTGGAGCAGGCAGCTATTACTGTAAAAAATTTGCATTATAAGGAAACTTACATATACTTTTTTGCCTTGACAGTGAGAAATCCTTACACAGGCCATAAATACCTATGTGGGGCACTTCAAACTAGCATTGTTCTATTAGAATGGGTTGAACCAATGCAGAAATTTATGTTAATTAAGGTAAGCATGAATGTCAGCCTACATCATTTTTAGTATAAAAGCTTATCAGTTTTCCTGTTCTTTCAAGAAAACTTTTTTTCCCAATTAATTCTCAAGACAGTGTAATGATTTTGGATTATATGGCAGAGTGGTGAAAATCTGCCTGATTATTAAAAAAAAAAAACTCCATTGGCCTGATAGAAGTTTTAAAAGAGACTAGACAGATAGTTCAGGGATGTGACAGTGGAAGCCTGAAATACTGAATCACATATACAGTCTGATATCAAGAACAGGAGGTACCAAGAAAGCAGTGAAATTTTGTCTGAATATGTTCTCTGGTTGACCTGTTCCATTGTAGCAGAGGGACAAGTCTACAGATTGGCATTTGGCTTAAAAGTCAAGGAATATATTCATCATGAAGGGGAAATAATTTGTTTTTAATATCTGCCATCCTATTAATTCACCTAGGCCTTCCAATGGATCATTTTTTGTGCCTTTGTGTCTCTAGAATCTTTTAATGAAAAAAAAACTTTTTTGGCTGTGCCACATGGCTTGGGGATTTTAGTCCCCTGACCAGGGATCAAACCCTTGCCTCTTGTAGGGGAAGCATGGAGTCTTTACTACTGGGCTGCCAGGGAGGCCCCTTTTAATGAATATTTTTTAAAACATTTAATATTACTCAGCTGTAATTTAAATTTAGAGGAAAAGCTAGCTGAAAATGTATGAAGTGCTGGCTCAGTCACTCCAAGGAAATACCAGATGAATTTTTTATGCTGTTTCATCACTATTTTGTATAGATTAAGTAGTATTTCATGAGCATTTGCTATCTCCATAGAAATTGGGATCACAGTAATTGGAGTGAATTCTTCCTAAATTATATAATACAGAATTAGGATGTTAAAAGTATTGGCTTCCTGCTATTTAAAATTTTATGAGTGACTAGGGAATCTAGTTTTAATTTTCACATCAGTATTTATTAACCTCACAATTAACTAGGACTAAAGAAATGAAATAGTTTCAAGAATTTACCACCCATTGAAGTAATATTTCCACAAATAAATTCACTGAAACAAAAATTCTTTAAAACAAAAAGCTGAAAGGCAAAATAACCTTGTAAATTGTGCAAAACAGAACTTCTGAAGCCAGCCCATTTCTGTCCACCTGGTTTTGTTCTAGGTTCCTCTTTGTTCTTATCTGTTTGACAAAAGCACAGCATATCCTAGATGGAGTGGTAAAGTGTATATAATTATTTTTCTGCAACCCTTCCCTTCCCTGTCTTTATCCTTAGTCTGTTACAGTATGTCCTTCCTATTCCTTTCTTTCCTAACCTCTATCGAAATGAAAAATAGATTCATTACATCAGTTGTTCATGGATACTAACAGTCTGATTAAACCTTAGTATGAATGAATTTTATGTGTTACCTGATATGTTAAACTGCTTATCTTAATACATAGTGAAATATCCTCTCTATTAAAGGAATTTTTTGTATTAAGAACGTACAGGTGCTTGCTTCGATAGCACATATACTATTAATAAAATTGGAACAATACAGAGAATTAGCATGGCCCCTGTGCAAGGATGACATGCAAAGTCATGAAGCATTCCATATTTTTTGATGTAATTATCCTCTAATTAAAAATAAGTATACAAAAAAGAGCATGCAAGAGAGAATATATATTTTGAAGGCATGGGAAGCTTAAAAATTACCCATGCATGTTTTCTTTTTTCTGGGTACCAAGGAACTTGGCCCTGACTGATAAGGCCTATTGCCAGGATTCTAGGATGTTCGCCTTACATACAGTTCTACTTGTAGGCCTTGTTTAAGACTTCTCACTCTTCCCACTTTCCTTAAACTCCCTCAGCAACATGCCCTTCTCTACTGTCCTTCATCTAAACCCAATTCTCCTTTCTCTGTCTCTCTGCTTTGAGATTTCTCTTGAGTGTATTTTGTTTCTATATTTGATATTATCTCAATTAGTATTTATGATGTTTCTCTACTATAAGTCTTACCAGATGTATTCAAAAACATTCTTATGTTTTCTGTATTCTTACTCTTCATGACATTTTCTAAATTTTTGCTTCACTACACTAGTTTATTTTCAATATAAATAAAAGTCATAAATTGAAGCAGATATTCATGTACTTATTACAAATCAGGCACAGTGCTATTTAATTAGACAGATAAAAATGAGTAAGAGAGAGGGTGTGGAGAAAAGGGAACGCTCTTGCACTGTTGGTGGGAGTGTAAATTGATACAGCCACTATGGAAGATGGTATGGAGATCCCTTAAAAAACTAGGAGTAAAACTATCATATGACCCAGCCATCCCACTCCTAGGTATATACCTTGAGGAAGCCAGGGTTGAAAAAGACACATGTATCCCCTGTTCATTGCAGCACTATTTACAATAGCTAGAACATGGAAGCAACTTAGATGTCCATCGACAAATGAATGGATAAAGAAGTTGCGGTATATATACACAATGGAATATCACTCAGGCATAAAAAGGAATGCATTTGAGTCAGTTCTGATGAGGTGGATGAACCTAGAACCTGTTATACAGAATGAAGTGAGTCAGAAAGAGAAAGATAATTATCATATTCTAACACACATACATGGAATCTAGACGAACGTTACTGAAGAACTTATTTACAGGGCAGCAGTGGAGAAACAGACAGAGAGAGTAGACTTATGGACACGGGGAGAGGGGAGGAGAGGGTGGGATGTGTGGAGAGAGTAACATGGAAACTTACATTGCCATGTGTAAAATAGAGAGCCACGGGAATTTGCTGTCTGGCTCAGGAAGCTCAAACAGGGGCTCTGTGTCAACCTAGAGGGGTGGGTGGGGAGGGAGATGGGAGGGAGGTCCAAAGGGGAGGGGATGTATGTATACCTGTGGCTGATTCATGCTGAGGTTTGACAGAACAACAAAATTCTGTAAAGCAGTCAGTTATCCTTCAATAAAAAGATAAAAAGGAAAAAAATGAGTAAGAGAGAATTATTTCCCTCAAGGACCATTATCAGTAGCAACTGGTATTGAAACTATTTTATGGGAACGCTCTTCTGCTAGCGACTTATACATATTGTTTAGTTACTGTTGGACAGTAGCAACTGGTATTGAAACTATTTTATGGGAACGCTTTTCTAGCGACTTACACATATTGTTTAGTTACTATCGGATGCTAAGTAGAAGTAGTCACAATCTGTTGGTTTTCTAATTTACTGAGGAAAAAAACAGAAGCATTGTTTTCTTCCTGTCCTACTGCTGTTTCCACATTTCAAAGAGAATTATTTTAAATATTTTACTTTATTAAAAATAGGACAGATTTTATCCAAAGCACATCCCCAGGTAGTAGGGATGCTCCCAGCAAGCTTGTGCGGAGGGTGTTTGTTGAAGGCATGTCTAGAGCTCTGGGATGGAGGTACTTAGGCAGTTTCAGGGAAGGAGCAATGTGGGAACAACAGTGGCATGGGCAGTTTCACCTTCCAGTCGTGATGATCACACTGCATCTTCTGACGCTTTAAGACAATTGGTTGTGGTAGCCCCATCTCAACACCTGTTTATTTTCTCTGTAATTTATTTTCTTTAGAATTTATAAGTAAACTACAGAATTTTAAAATATATCAATTTCAGTAGCTTTTAAAGATACTAACAGTAGCCACTGGGAAATATAATGAAAACAGCCCATTTATAGGAGCAACAAAAATAAATTATATTAACAGTAGACTTAATAAAATATGTGTAAGACTAATGTATTTTTTAAAAACCTTTTTATTGTAAGGAAAAATACTGCTAGCACCCCAGAACTCCCCATGGCACCACCCCCCTACAAATCAGCTCCCTTATTTTCCATTTTTACCATTGTTAGCACATACCCCTAAACATTAGCATTAATTTTACCTGATGTTTCAACAGTATGGAAATGGAATCATTCATTTGGGTCTGACTTCTTTTGTGCAACATTGTATTTGTGTACTTGTTGGATATAGCCATAGTTTGTTCATTTTGATTGCACTCTAATTTCTGATTGTGTGAAACTCATCATTTTATCTGTTTTAGGCATTTGGGTTACTTCCAGTTTTTTTGTCATTCTTAGCAATGAAGCTTGTATATATACTTTTGCATATGTCTCCTGTGTGCGTGTATAGTCATGTTCTGTAGGTTGTATAACTAGGAGTGTTTTTTCAGGGTTCTGAGAGATGCATATCTTTGGCATTAATAAGTGATGTAATTAACCACTGTGGTTGTACCAATTTGTTCTGCCACCATCAGTGTTATGAGCATTTGTCTGCTTTTCTCTGAGTAATAACCCTTATTATTCTCGTTCTTGTGGTGGATGTGTATAGTTATCTTGGTTTTATTCCCTGATTACTAATAAAGTGAATGTTTTCTATTTTTCCAGAGTTTCAGAATGTGAATTTAGTCTCTTTGTAGTAAAATAAAAATAATTTTAAACTTATGTATAATGAAAATCAGTTGCATTATAACTAAGTTAATTTATTAAATAGAATCAGTTGAAATACAGGGCTGATTTCTTTTGTGGGTTTTTTTTTTTTTTCCTGTCCACACTTATAAGAGGAATGTCTCTTGCTAATGAGCATTTCAGTTTTCTCACCCATGTTTGCTCAGTTGGATAAGAAGGCAGAGGAGTATTACTGAAGCACAGTGTCCAATTAGGAAACAAGAGACTCTACCTCAAAGGGTGGAGGTGGGGGGACTCTCAGACCAGCCGTGCAATTGCTGGATCTGTTTCCAATTCTAATGCTAAAGTGTGTAGTATTTAACTTAAAAATTACAGTGCTTAAACTAAAATCTTTATAAGATGTTTCATAATTTGGATTTTTCTGCATAACCTGAGTTTCTGTGAGAAGCAATCTTTATAGTAGAGAGTACTCTGTTATGTATTTTCATAAAACTAAACATTCTTAACGGCATTCCCATGAAATTATTTGGCTTTTGTTTTCCTTTTTTAATATATTTTGTCTTTTTTCTAGCACATAGATTTTCCTATACCATGTCCACTTAGAATGTTTGAGATGCTGGTGGTTCCTGAGCAGGAGTACCCTTTAGTCTGTGTTGGTGTCAGTAAAGGGAGAGACTTCAACCAGGTGGTTCGATTTGAAACAGTCAATCCAAATTCTACCTCTTCGTGGTTTACAGAATCAGGTTTGTGGTTTTTATGTAATTATTAAGGCCAGTGCATAGACTGGTTTTGTAAGTAATCAATTTACTATATTTTTCATCAGGCAAGTACAGTGCATAAAAATCCAGTCTTGAGTAACTTATTGAACTGGAAAAAGAGAAGATGACTTGCTTTGAGATAGCTAATTTGTTTGACACATTTAAAACATTCTGGTGGCTCCCAAACTTGAGTGTGTGTCAGAATCACTTGTCTAGGTCCCACCCCCAAGTTTTTCACTCAGTAGATCTGGGTGGGGCTTGAGAATTTTCAATGTGTAAGTTCCCAGGATGTTGACGATGTTAATACAGGGACCACAAGTGGAGAACCACACATATATATACAAACCTTGTTGTAGTGCAAGTTGTATCCGACTGTTTGCGACCCTGTGAACTGCAGCACACCAGCCTTCTCTGTCTGTCACTTACCTCCCTGAGTTTCCTCAAACCCATGTCCATTGAGTCAGTGATGCCATCCAGCCATCTCATCCTCTGTCACCCCTTCTCCCCTTGCCCGGTTTTTCCCAGCATCAGGGTCTTTCCTAATGAATCGGCTCTTCGCATCAGGTGGCCAAAATATTGAAGCTTCAGCATCAGTCCTTCCAATGAGTATCCAGGGTTGATTTCCTTTAGGATGGACTGGTTTGATCTCCTTGCAGTCCAGGGGACTCTCAAGATTCTCCTCCAGCATCACAGTTCAAAAGCATCAATTCTTCAGCACTCAGCCTTCTTTATGATCCAACTCTCACATTCATACATGATGGGTGGAAAAACCATAGCTTTGACTATATGGACCTTTGTCAGCAAAATGATATCTCTGCTTTTTAAAACACTGTCTAGGTTTGACACAGCTATTCTTCCAAGGAGCAAGCATCTTTTAATTTCATGGCTACAGTCACTGTCCACATTTATTTTGGAACCCAAGAAAATGAAGTCTGACACTGTTTGTACATTTTTCCCATCTATTTGCCATAAAGTGATAGGACCATATGCCATGATCTTAGTTTTTTTTAATGTTGAGGTTTAAGCCAGCTTTTTTACTCTGCTTTTTCACCTTCATCAGGAGGCTAATAGAAAAGCTGATTTATATAAAAAGGAAAAGCTGCATTAAGTATATTTTCCAGTATATTTTTATAATTGATACACAGGTACTACCTGGGAACTTTAATAAATATTTTTAATGATTTGTAATTAGGATGCAAATTATTAAGTAAATAGTAAAGCACCTCCAAAGTGTTTGAAGGTGCTTGAAAATAATTCTTTTATATAATTTAATTCCTAAATTTTGATCTACATTGCCCAGTTGTAGCAGATTTCTTCCTTCATAGCTTGTACCTTAGGAAATAATAGCTCCAATTAATGAGTTTTTTACAGAAATTTGTTCATAGTTTGAAACCCTCAGTTGCATTACTGCAGTCCATACACATTGGCAAAACTTTTGTCTTTGGTGGTAAATAAATCTGATTAAACTGTTACACTTTAAAAAAAAGCATGACCTTAAAGGTCTTTTTGTTTTTAAAACACTGTGTTTGTTATGAAGCTCCTTTTATGTTTTTGCCTAAAGAATGACATTGTACAATGTTTTGCTGTAAAATAGGCATGGCTATTTTTGAAGGTAATTTTTAAAGGTCTTGCAAAGACTCTGCTCAGAGTCTTTGGCAACTTAGAGGAGTGTTAAAGAACCAACTTGCCAATAAATATTGATTAGTCAGGAGTTTGTTGGAAGCCTGAAAGTGTTCATAAAAGGAAAAAAATTAAGAGATGGAGGTTTTTGGCATTGAAAAAAAAATGATCACACATTTAGACACATTCAACAGAAGTCTAAAGACAACTTCATGGCTGCTGAAGCCCAGGGAATTTGGAACAGCTTTCTATTGAAGGAAAGCAGGGCCTGCCCTTGGCAACATTATGTGGCTTCTCTTTGGCTTCCTCAAATTCTCTTGTTAAATTCTCCCTTTAGACAGTATGTACCCTTTCAGACACAGGGTTAACTCCTGCTTTCTAATTTCTTCCCTTCTATTGTTGGTTGACTAATATTTTATTTAGTGACTAATATTTTATTTATATTAGTTGTCTTATTTCTCCCAACCATTTTAGCTTTAAATCCTTTTCTACTAATTGTTTAATGAAGGGCCTTTCATTTCCTGACATAAGAGTTTTATACCTTCCATCCCACGAACTTTTGATTGCTTATCTTAGCATAATGAAATCCCTTTATTAGAAGTTAAATACAACAGATATAATTCATTTCTGATTTTGAGATGATGAGGTTCAGTAAGAGGGAGAAAGTATGTTTAAGGTTTTGTATGAGCTGAAATTATAAGCTGTGGTTTCCTAAACTCTGCTGCAATGTAGAATCCACTTGAGAAGATTTTAACACTCTTGATACATCAAGTCATACACACATACCCCCATTTAAATAAGAATATCTGGAGGTGGCAGCTGGATATCAGTAGACCTCCAGATGACTTCAGTGTTTGGAAACTAATTATTATAATCAATTTGTAAATCTCATTTTCCTGGCTTTCTATCTAGTAATGCTAGACTGACTTCTTGACTAATTTTCACCAAATGTGTAAGAGTTACAAAGATCTGGTTGGCCTGATTTACAGGAGGCCTGTTCCATATCCTTCCAACCCTGGCTAGTCACAGAATATGTGTGAAAGTCTGAACTATAGCTGCCCTTGGCTTTATTAAGATTCTAAATACTATGGGAAGTAAAAAACTAGACTGATAGACTAGACTTAAGAACCACACTCCAGAAACAAAGGCCTGTAGCTCAACAGTTTTAGCTTTGATATTCATACAAAGTTTGGGATATCTTACTTCTCACTTCCTGGAAAACTAAGTCATTTAAATGTTTTAGGTTTGTTAGAACTTGGATAAATCATTATTATAAAAATAATGCCTCTGCGTTTTTATGGTGCTTCATACTTCTCAAAATATGTCAGTATTTTTTTAACTCATTTGTATTCAAAGTGATTAACTCTCTGATTTATTCATTCAGTAAATATTCATTGCATGTGCTAGGCACCACATATAATGATGTACGAAGCACAGCCCTTGGTCTTCTGAGCTTAAAATCCAAAATTAATCATTGTTGTAATATAGAAGATTGGACTCCTAATCTCACATATGAATAGGATAGTGGCATCACAGGTAGTAATGACAATAGCTAACCCTCCATTAAGCACTCTCTCAGTTTAGCTCTCGTATCAGAGTTTGAACCCAAACCCATCTGAGTCAACCACTGCATGTGTATGACTAAAAATATATATCTATTTCAAATTCAGTTATATTCAGAATTCTTTTTTTAATGTGTCTGTGCTTTAAATATTACTGTTTCCTGTAAGTTTTATCGAGTTTGTTTGTGTTGTAGATACCCCCCAGACAAGTGTTACTCACGTAACGCAACTGGAGAGAGATACCATTCTTGTATGCTTGGACTGTAAGTTTTTGTTTATGAATATCTTTATCTTAATAAGATTTCTTTTATCTTTGTTTCTGATTGACTTTTTTCCATTATAGGTTGTATAAAAATAGTAAATCTCCAAGGAAGATTAAAATCTAGCAGAAAATTATCATCCGAACTCACCTTTGATTTCCAGATTGAATCAATAGGTAAGTCAGAATTTTGTGTTTCTTGTTTGATTGCATTATCAGCTGCTTAGAATAATTTGTCCAATAGTTATTTGAAATTATAAAAATATATTACTAAGGACTCATTTTTTAAAATATAGGATATAATGAATATGAGGTATCAGTCTTTGCTGTTACACATTCCCTAAAATAGTTTAGCAACTTTGATATAATCGATAAATAATGTTGTCTTCCCTACAGATTGGGCATTTTCAAAATAAATAATTAAATATTGTTATTCATAACCTAGTTATGAATTTCCATTTTCTTTAGACTCCTGTAGAGTTTCCCAATAAGTGCTTTACAATTTAGTATTTGCTGTTGTATCTACTGATCACAGATCCTTAAGCATATGGAATTTCCTTCTTGCTATTTTTACATTATGCTTGGTAAGAATTTTTTTCTGGAAAAAGATTTCTTACAGAATCAGTATTCTAAAATGATTGCATTCAGGAAAAATAAGGTTAAATGACCATAATAGAGAGAATGCTGATGAATATGATTCAGTAGTTAATTTAGCTGTACACTGGTTTTTCTGGTGTCCTTTATCAGTAAAGATCCTTGCATGTATATGCATTAGCAGAAGGTAAGGGCCAAGGGCAAATAGTTCATTTGTCTTTCTTGGTCCTATTTTTAATCTTTCTCCCAATTAGAATGCCTCTCTCCAACAAGCAGACACTGATGATAATAAGTCAGTTTTGAGGGACATCTGCTCAGAATGTTCAAATGGAATCCATACTTTAAAATGCATGGCCAGGTCAAAAAAAAAGACAAAGAACAGAAACTCAAAGTGATACACCCTCATGAGTGGTAAAGAAAACTAGTGGTGTCCCACAGAAGATGGGGAACCAGAGCCAGGCATGTTGTTTGAAGCACCTACTAATTAAGACTCCCCACATAAGGCCTGGTGGCTTTATAGGGGATTTTTATCCACTATTAAAAGAAGGAATAGTCCCTTCCCCATATACAGACTGCTTCAGACTGTAGACAAGAAAGGAATGCAGAATAAATCAGTAACAGTCACTTCAGTTCAGTCGCTCAGTCATGTCTGACTCTTTGTGACCCCAAGGAGTACAGCACCAGGTTTCCCTGTCCATCACCAACTCCCAGAGCTTGCTCAAACTCATTTAGCACTGTTGATAGTGAAATCAGTTAAATTACACAGAAAACAAAGTTTCCCAATCTCATGAAAACAGATTTTGGAAAATTTATATAAAATACTAGCAAATAGAATTCCGTATCATCAAATAGTAGACTTTATCTCAGAAAAGCAAAGGTCGTGCCGCAGCAGACAGTTGATTTATGTATAGCACATTAAAAGCAAGAAGTTACGTAACTCTTCAGCAGATGCGCAAAAACCATTCGGTAAAATCTAAGTCATTCTTGGTTTTTTAAAAAGACAACTTTTTAGAAATTAACGGTAGAAGGAAATGTCCTTCATCTAGTACAGCCTATTAAAAATATTGTTTAATGGTTAAACTGATTCCCATTAAATTAGCTAATGAGATAAGGAGGTTTGCTATCATCATATTACAACACAGTCTCATTAGACTATGAAAAGGGAACTATGAGGATTAGAAAGAAATAAGCAAAATATCCTTTTTTGCTGATGGTATGATTATCTACTAGAATATACAACTCTATTAGAACCAATAAGAAAATTCAAAATTGCTAGATTTGAATAACATTGATGGATACTTTTCTGACATGCCAGTAAGATGCATAGGAATAAATGTAGTCAAACATGTGTAAGATCATTACCTAGGAAATTCCAAGTTATCTTTTAAAAGCATAAAAGAAAATTTGAACAAATGAACTACACCATGTTGATATATAGGAAGACTGAGTATGGGAAAGATGTTAGTTCACTAATTAATCCACTCATGCAATGCATTTGCAGTAAAAAAAAACCCCAGTGAGGTATTCTTGTGCCACTTGATCTTAAAATTCATAAGGATAAGCCAAAGGCCAAGAATAATAAAATAAATTTTGATGAACACTTGCCCTCCTTGATACTGAAACTTACTCTGAAGCCATAGTGATGAAGACAGTGTGGGCTCAACACAGGGATACATGGAAGACTGGAACAGAAGGCTCAGAAGTAGACCTATGTGTAATTGGGTATTTGCATCATATGTCAGTGGGAAAATGATGTTCGGTTCAACAGATGATGCCAGGACAATTCGTTACCTGCGGGAAACAAATTAAGATTCTTCACTGAATACACACCAAAATGTGTATTAAATATTTAAATACAGAAAGCAGAACTAGAATTTTTAGAAGGCACATATCCCAGTAATTCTATTTCTAGGTATCCACTCCAGAGACAATTTTGCACATGTACGTAGGGAGAGATACAAGAATGTTTAGGGCTTCTCAGATGGTGCTGGTGGTAAAGAGCCTGCCTGCCAGTGCAGGAAACATAAGAGACATGGCTTCGATCCCTGGGTTGGAGAGACCCTGGAGGAGGGCATGGCAACCCACTCCAGTGTTCTTGCTTGGAGAATCCCATGGACAGGGGAGCCTGGCGGGCTATAATCCATAGGGTCTCACAGAGTCGGACACAACTGAAATGGCTTAGTATGCACACATGCACAAGAATGTTTAATGCAGCATTGTTTGTAATAACAAAAAAAAAATTAGAAGCATCATTTGGTTCCTCACACTAAATATATGAAAGTTGGAAAATACAATATAAAGTTCACTGATCATGTGAACTCACTGTGTTCTAATAGTAAAAATATGCATGAGAACAACAGATACCAAATATGTAAGGTGGTTATCTCAAGGAGGGAGGAAAGAAGGGTTAATGGAACTAGAGGAGGAGTATATAGGGATGCTGGCAGTATTCGTTCTTATTTAAAACAAAGAACAAATATGGGAAAATGTTAGGATTTAAGTGTTGAATGGCAGATACATGTGTTTTTATGTCATTCTTCTATTTTTCTATATATTTCAAATATTTTCGCAAAACAAAACTTCCTAAAGCAAAAAATATTTTCAGTGAATTTTCTTTTTCTTACCAAAATATGAATCAGTTCAATAAAGTATTTATGCTGTTTAGTTTATACTGTGTAGTATGTGGTGTGGTAAAGATGCTATTATAAATCTGGAATGACTAACAGTTATTAATTGGAATATTGTTATTCAAGGTAGAAAGAGGGGTGAAATGATGCTTACTGGTTGAACTTTTATACTATTAACAGTAACTGAGCTGTTCTTGCATGTTAGTTTGCCTACAAGACAGTGTGCTAGCTTTCTGGAAACATGGAATGCAAGGTAGAAGTTTTCGGTCTAACGAGGTAAGTGATCTTTTTTAAAATTACAACCATTAAATAGTCCTGAACTTTGGAAAATTCCTGATTGGTGCAACAAAATGTTACATTTTCTGTATTCAATTTAGTGATAAAATCAAGAGCGCATACTTTATAGCCCCCTCTCTCTGTCCATTAAGTCAAACAAGTTCAGTGCATTATTTTTTGTGCTTCCAGATAAGCACCCTTATATTCAGAACAGGAGCTTTCTAAATACTGCTAAAAGTGAGCCAGCTCTGATGTTCTTTCAACTTTCCCAGACCATCACCTGGAGCAAGAGTGCAGATGCGGGCTCGCTCTGTCCCCGAAGCACCTTTTCTACTTTGTATTTCAGAAAAATGACCAGTGTAGGCTCCAGGTAAAGGATCCCCTGGAAGTCAGCTTGCCTCCTCTTTCTGGTACCCTCATCTTGCTATCCTTCCTTCCTTAATTTAACTCCAAGTCGTACGACGTATTCAATTCAGTTCATCATTTATGCCAGAAAGTGCTGGGGTTGCAACATGAGCAGACTTGGTACTTGTCCCTTAAAATATTACAGACAAGTAAAATCATCCTGAGTTCTTTGGGTAATCCCACGCCAGTCTCAATAGTATGACTTCTACTTGAGCACTGGAGGGGAAGGAAAACATTAGGTACCTTGAGTAAGAAAATAGCTTATTTGTGTTTTAAACTGCTACACATGAAGCTCAGAGCATTTCTCCTGACCAGTAAATGGTACTGGTAGAATGATCATGAGTGTGGGTTTCAGAGAAAATCCTGGGATTTAGTCTCCGTTTTCCTCTTCAGTAACTGTGACCTTGGCACTTCACTTCACTTCTCTTTGCCTGTATTTTTTCATCAGTGAATTGAGGATAACAGTATAGTGCTTACCTCATAGGGTTGCTAAGATTAAACGAAAGGAAATAAGTAATGTGCTTGGCATAATGCCTAGCCTATAGTAAGTATTCAAGAAAGGTGGCTGCCAGTATGTTTCTAGGAGTTATTGCCACAAGAGGACTCAAGAGGGAGATTTTTTTTTTTAATCACCTGAGGGAATGGAACCTAGAGATAAGAAGAGTCAACAGCTAATAAACACCAGACAGAGAAAGAAAAGCATTGTAGGCTGGATAGAAGAGAATGGTTAAAAAAAAAATCAGTTTGTCCCAAAATATCCTGAGGTACTTTTTCAGACTGCTTACTCCTTACTAAATACAACCCCTCTGAAAATGGTCTGTCCTTTAAGTAGGCAAGTCCCAAAATGCATTGACAATCAGTAATGATGAACCGCTACTATTGAAGTGAGCATGTTAGATCCTTCAGGCGTGCTGAGTTACAAAAGAAGTCAAGAATCACTGCTGTGTCCAGAATAATTTTATTTTCAAAATCAAACTGTTTTATTCAGCCTACCAGATTTGGGGGAGAGGCTACTGCCATTATAATTGGGAATGTTCTGCATTTAATAAGCAATCAACAGTGGGTTTATCTTTCTCCTGTAGACTTATTCTCAACTCCCCAACTGGTGCTTGGTCTCACTGAGGACTTCTTTAAAGATGTATGCCATCAGAAAATATTATTTCAGGAGACTAGGAAAGAAATGGGAAAGAGAATTGTTATCTACTGAGTATTTCCTTAACTAGGCATTAAACCCACTAATACTTAAAAGAATATGCAAGATACCACTGAAAGGTAGATACTGTCTGTCCCTTTTGGCAGAAGATAAACTACTTCCAACAAGTTACATACCTTTTGCAGTTGTCACTACTAGTCGGTGGGAGAACTGGGATTGAAACTGGAATCATGAGTTTGTCCCGTCACACTGCACTGCAGCCTTTTAAGTGGAAGGACCAGATACAAGTGCCTTACTGCTTCGAGAGCCTTGCTGTTAGCATTAGGGTAACTGATAAGAGGTTTCTGATAAATAAAATGGACTAGGTGCTTTGCTTTTAAATTTTTCCCTGGGAGCCTATATTCCAGGCAAATGGTTTACTACTCTCGTGTTTTATGATTGATTCAAAATCAGCCATATTTTTCCTAGACTAACAAATGGACAACATACCTGTGCGCTGACTTACGAAAGTTAATGGTCATACAGGGGTTCTGTTTCCATCTTAGGAATTATATTTCTTTTCTATAGGGTTATAAATTAAATGCCCATATAAAATTCTGCATCTTTCATTTCAGAAGTTAAATTGGTATTTTCCTTGAACAGGTAACACAAGAAATTTCAGATAGCACAAGAATTTTCAGACTACTTGGATCTGACAGGTAGGAAAAGTGGTTGTATTATATACATAGTTCTAAACATGTTTTATAAATCCAGCATAAAACTAGCTTCTTTTTCAAGAGAACTGGAATTTCTGCAGTAATATATTCATTTTTATATTTTTCATGCTATAAGTATTCACAGAAAGTTATGAAGCCTTTGACAATGAGCTTGATCTTACAAGTAACAGGAATACATAGATGTTGTCAGTACTAGTTTTGCTTTAAACATAATATCTCAAATATGATTTACAACACCAGAAAGAAGAAATACCATATGCTAGCACACAGAAAAGTTTTTAGTTATAATACCAAATAGGATTTGGGGTTATATTTTGATTTATTTTCTGACTCTTGAACTTCACATTGTTTTTAGAATTCATAATAAGAATTAAGTTTCCCCTACTGATTCCTAGTTATAGTTTTACCCCCTCTGGCTCTTAGAACCACACTGGCTTAGAAGAGAGTGGCGGGCAGCAAAATTACTTCCCAGAGCTAGAACTGCCTCTTTAATCATAGTGATTTGCAAATGATTTCTGCCCACATAGCAAATAAGCAGCATTTATTAGAGGCATATGATAAAGAAGCAATGGAAAATTTTTCTGGTAACATTAGTTTGTAAGCATAACTTTGTTTTGTTATATGTTTTTTATGTGTTTGTTTACTATTTTAGGGTCGTGGTTTTGGAAAGTAGGCCAACTGATAACCCCACAGCAAATAGCAATTTATACATCCTGGCGGGTCATGAAAACAGTTACTGAGAAATGTGCTTTGACAGTTAACTATAGAAGGAAAGAACACTACCACTGCAACATTAATGGATGCTTGAAGCTGTACAAAAGCGCAGTTACCTGGCTTCAGTTACTTGTAATTTATTGTGGCATGAGACAAGATGGGGCAATTTTTTGTTTTAAGTGGTATGGATATATTTAGCATATTGAACCACACAAGTGCTTAATTCATTGTTATGTAATCTTTGTACATATAGGCAGTATTTTTCTGTGAAACTTCATATTGCTGAAGACACACACTAAGAATTTATGTAGATAATGTACTTTTATGGGATGTACAAGTAAGTGTCTTATCTGTACAGATGTAAATGTTAAAAATTCAATTGGGATTAATATTTTAAGAATTCTTTAGTATATTCTTGGGTGTGGCTATATTACAAAATGGGATGCTGGCAATGAAACCATACCTTTAACACTATTGTATTTTTATTATATGTAATTTAGTAATATGAAGATAAATCTTGTAACTTTTAAAATTGTAATGGAGGCTGTAATCATTTTATAATCTTGTTTTTAATTTTAATGCAAGTACACTGGTGTGTTTATATTTGCACAAAGTATTGATATGTGATGTATTAAGTCACAAAAGTAAGCTGTGACATTGTCAATATGCATTTGGCTCCACATCTTTTTTAAATGTATTTGGATTGTTTTCTATGTGAAACAAACCAATTAACCCCCTGTTGTAGTAACTGGTCTTTTTTATATTTCAGCAGAATCCTATAAGATTGCTTGTCTCTGCTTAAAAACAATACCTTTGAAAAATTTTTGAATCACAGAATAGCGGTACCGTGATGTAGCATTGCAGTTTGTCTGAGTTATAATATGCACAGAGTATGTTAGCATTATCAAAGAGTCCACACTAAACATTTCATATAATCACTTTGAAGAACTATAACATTCCATAGAGTGAATCAGTTCAAATTTCTAGTGGAATTTTTACTTTTCTTGGCCTTATTTTATGATCATTTTCATATTTCTTTTGATTTAGAGTATTAACACTTGGCCAAAATAATTTAGTTACTACCTCATATAAACAATATAATGGTTACTACACATCACAGGAACTTAGTTTTGGTTAAAGTCATTTTTGATTGCTTTTTTCCCAGTGAAATATGTATATACCAAGTTTTAGAAAAATGCACACTTTTGGCTCTTTTTTGGTATATGTTCTTTATATTTTAATGTGAGTATATACACAAAGAACAAACTAAATTGTGATTTATGGTCTTCATTTATTTTAATTGACAATGCTTTTAAATATGTTCCTGATTGTACATAGTGTAAAATAAATATGTTTTTTAACATGCTGTTGTATAGTAGCTTGTCATCTGGCTTAATCTGTATATAGTAAGATTAAAACATATTAAGGAGAAAAATGTTTTTAATTACTCTGCATTAAATCCTTAAGTAACCATTGTGATCCTTCAGATCTTGATATTTCAATTTGATCTGTCATCTAGATTTCATAAAGGAGTAATATTCCCACATTTTTAGGCTCTTCAACTTTCTGATCAGGAAAATCATAACATTCTTAATTTTTTAGTTGGAGGAGAAGTCGGCAGACTGCATTCCTGAGCCCAGTCCTGCTTAATGCCTGTTTTTATCAATGAAATTCACTAGGACAAATACATTTACATGTTGTCCATAGCTGCTTTCGCCAAAAAAAAAAAAAAAAAGACAGTTTTCCCCAAAAAACTACATGACCCACAGAGCCTAAGATATTTACCATCTGACCATTTATAGAAAGAGTTTGCTGACTCCTGGTTAGAGAAAGGAAAGGAGAATGCTGGGGAATGCAGTTCTGAAGGCAAGGAGGGCAAAGTTAGATGTAGGAAAAATGAGTAGGGGACTGAGAGGTGACATTTCAACTCTTGTTAATGCTGCTGCCTGTTATTATGACCTTGGATAATCTCCTTGACTCCAGAACAGTTTCCTTATCTAAAACTGACTTCTAAATCATACAGATGTTAAAAATCAGCAGTCATGTATATTTATCACTTCGCCCAAATACATTGCGACTAATCTTAGCATTAATAATAATGATTGTTTTAAGGCTTCCTTGATGGCTCAGATGTTAAAGAAATGCAGGGAAACCCAAGTTCGATCCCTAGGTCAGGAAGACCCCCTAGAAAAGGGAATGGCAACCTACTCCAATATTTTTGCCTGGAAAATCCCATGGACAGAGGAGCCTGGTGGGCTGTAGTCCGTGGAGTCGCTAAGAGTCAGACACAACTGAGCGACTAACACAGTGACTGTTTTAAAAACAGATCTTTATCAGTATAACATGATCATCAATTTGTTGAAAAACAGATTTCCTGAAAAACAGATTTTCTTAAAAATTGATTTTAAGAAATCAATATTCTGTCCTTGGCATTTATTAATGAGGTTGTTGATCCTTTTCCTGGTCCACGTATTTCTAGTTTCCAAATCCTGTAAATTATATAAAGGGTCACATCTCAGAAAAATGTAACCTTCACATTTAACTGTCTAGCATTTCAAAATATTTCCAGAAGATAAAATATACAACTGGTTGTGTGTTACACATGGGCCTTTTAAAACTACAGACCCCTGGAATCAGTCTTTGAGGGAAGGGCTTAATAACCATGTTTTTATAAAGTTGTACAAATGTACAAATGATGTGCAGTGCTTCATGAGAACCACTGGCCCAATGTTGAACTTAAATCAGTGTTTCTGAGTGTGATCCAAGTATCACTTGACTGAGAAAAAATAATCATTGGTGACACTCAAGAATGCAAATTTGAGGGCTCCACCTACAACTTGTGATTGAGGCTCTTTGTTTAGTAAACAGGAAGAGAGTCACTAACTGAAATGTTGGGAAAGATTTGATTTCATTGAAGTTCAGAATTGTCTATCTTGTGAGCTAGCTTCTTGGACATTGGTGTTGAAAATGATACCAATTGTTTCTAGGCCTCATTGGCATCATTCATTGCTAGTGTGTTACTGATTTCAGTAGAGACCAGGAAATAAAGGACAGGCATCACTTTTCACCATTACTAGTAGATGAAAGCGTGCTATACTAAATAGTGGGTAAACACTAAAGAGTATTACATGAGGGAATATAATAATAAGTGCCCGATGAATGTGTTTGTGCTATTCCACATATTTTCCACAGATTCTCCCATGGAAGCCCCAAAACAGCCCAATGAGGTAAGTATCATTAATGCCATTTTACAGATGAAGAAACTAAGGCACCAAAAGATTAAATAACTTGCCCAAGAATATAGCTGGGAAATAGTGGAGCTAGGATTTGAACCTAGGCACTTGGTTCAGAGTATATACTCTCAACTACTATGCTAAACTATGTACTGCACAGAATATATGCAGTATATCCACTACCCTCTGAAATACACCCTAGCCATTTCTGCCCTGAAATTACACTTACTTTCTCTAGGAATTGGATTTCAGATTCTGATTTTCATGGTCTCTTTGCAGCAAAAGAAATTAACTTTGTCTTTTAATTTTTCACTTTATCAAAAAAGATTTTCAGTATTCAAAGTGTTTTGTGTAAGAATAAAAGGATTTGCATATAATTGATTTTACCATTAAACCTTATGAAACACATCTAGTCAAAACTCATTACAAAGACATGACTTTTCAAGTTTCCTCTAGTGAGATAATTGTTTAACCAGCAAACGTTGATCATTCACAATGGGTCCAAGTGCGTTACTAGATCATCATTCCCAGTATTCCAGGAGCACATTTGGATGAGTAAATATATTTGAAGAACAATACAAAAAAAGGCTGTGCCTAATTCTGCTTTGGGAAAAGAAAAGCCTTTATGTAGAATGTTACATATAAACCAGATTGTTAATAGATGAGTTTATCAAGTGCAGAAAAAAATCAGCGTAGGGAGCTGAAGGCTAGACTAAGGCATATGCAAAAATGCTGCTTATTCAAGGAATAGTGATGTTAAATACAGTTGAACTCAGGGTGTGTGGAGCAGAGTAACAAGACATGTTAACATACTGCTGCAAAGCAGGGATGGGCCTATTTGTGAAGAGCTTCCTATTGAGAAAAGTAGTTCTAATAGTCAACAGTTACAGAAACTGCAGAGATTAAATACCATGATGAAAATAGCCATTGGCCAAAAAAAAGACTTCCCTGGCAGTCCAGTGACTAAGACTCCATGCTTCCAGTGCAGGGGTTCAGGGTTTGATCCCTGATTGGGGAACTAGGATCCCACATGCTGTGTGATGTGGCCAAAAACAGAAAATAGGCGTTGGGTCTGTACCTAAGGTGATGTGATCTCTTGTATCCTTACTCGGAAAATTACCTATATAGCATGATGAGGGCAAAAATGATAGAGAAATATGTTGATATAAGCTTATGTAGATTTGAGTTCAGTGGGATTATGTTTGGTCTTAAAGACAAAGGAGGTAAAAGTTTCTGGGTTTGCTTTTGTCTCTGTCTTCTGTTTCTAAAGATGGGCAGAGATTAGAGGATATGTCTCAGCAAGTGAAGGAAGTGGAGAATTGAAGATAGAGAAGAAAAAGGAAGAAGAGTTACTTCTGAGGGAAGCAGAGAAGAAGCGACATCCTAAATCTGGGCATGATGAGGGAGCATTTTACTGATGCCAAAGTGTGTATGTGCTCATTAACAACACAGTGTTCCCACGTTCACCTTGTAAACAAGAGTAGACTAGCAAAAATTATCTTTTTCTAGTGTTAGTACCTGTGACCCCATAAAGCATTCATCAAATTACTTGTTTGCTTGACTTGGTTTCCTACTGGGTGGCAAACATGTCTTTCACTCTGAATCAGCCCCACGTAATAGTAACAATGCTTGCTGAATTATCAAAACAGCAGCGATGGACCGCAACTGATAAATAAACCTACTTGTTACGAAAAAGCCTTAAATCTGCTGAAAAGCTATGTGGACACTAGGGCAGGACCAAAGAGGAACGATTAAAAATAGAGGATCTGGCCACCTCAAGATCTAGGCCCAGG